GTAAACACAATATTTATTTTCCGTTTTTTAAACAAGTCAAATCATACGATACTTAAGACTTATATACATATTCATTAGATGCATCATCGTAGAATTCTTTCCTCTTTTGAATGGTAACCTTTATTGGGCCAATTCTTAAAAAAATATCCAGCGTCAAAAAACATGAGTGGTTACAATGTTGATCTTACGTTTTCACGTAACTGACAGAACGGTCAAACAAAAGTCTTTGTTAACAGTAGCCTACGACATGTGTAACGTCGTCTGTATCACAAAATTAGCTACTGGGTTATTGACTTAATTAAATTATATCGGCAGTACTTCATAATAAAAATGTCCCTAAGCTAGACGACATGTCTTACATCAAAGGTAACGCCTTAGGGTGCAACGACAAGAACTGTTACCATGTTTGCTTTGAATATCCAGTCTAACAATAATTATTCACTATATAGATACCTTATAAGAGGTTGTGTCGCTATGTCTGGATTAATCGAGTCTGTCATGATAAACGTTTTATTTATTTAGAATCAAAGCTATCTTTGATTTTAGGTTATATATCCTATCATTTCACGTGACAGAAGTTCTTGTGCAATCTGTTGCTGTTTATTAGCATCCTAATCTTGATCATTTTGGCTTCAATTTCTCTCGCAGTAACCCATTACCTCTCAAGTTCTAAATTAAGTACACGCTAACTCCACCAGCGGTAGTGCATCAAATAGACGAAAACAGAATCCTTTGTAAAGCTAGCAGCCAAAGCCATGTTTTTTTAAATCTGTAACCGAGGACGTATTAACATCCTTAATTTATTAAATGCAGAACAAATCGTTGCCTGCCATCAGATCCGGTACAAGTCTTGTACTAAATGACTGTAAATAAAGCTCCCAAAGTGACATCTCAGGTGGTACCAAGGCAGCAATTATCTCATTGAAGCGACTAATATCAGTTCCTCAGGTGTGCTGCATGTTATCTAAGCTGATCTGAATAACCTTTAGCTTTTATCCTTTCCAGAACATCCCCCTTTACCTTAATCTTAATGCTTTGTTTAGAGCAATAAGTCCTTTACAAAACATATATTATTTATTAAGGACATTGTCTACAGGGAATCAGATTAATTTAGCCTTAATACAATCTCTTAATTAATACCTAACTGAGAATGGTTTTCTGTTTCGGCGGCAGCGTGAGATGGTTCCAAAGCTATCTGCTTTTGCATTTTGAACAATATCCTGGTTTTCAGAAAATGGTATACAGCATTTTGACATTTACCAATTTCATTTGCACAATCAGGTGGAGAAAGTAGGACTTCATTTCGTTACTGAACACGCAAAAACCTTAAGCGAATGCCACCACCAGTTGGGATTTGGCATCAAACCAGCGACATTTCGAGTTGTCAGCGAGTAACCCCAAACATTGATCGTAAGGGTACCTTAGTTAGATAGGTCAAAAAACCTTTCGGGAACAACCCTTGTTCGTCACCTAAATTTGTAAGCCCTCAATCTCTTGTTTATTTAAGAGTATTTGTAACTAGTTTTCAGGTATTATCACTTTATAACGAAAGAATCAAAAGGCATTATGTCGTGTAATGAACCGATGATCTTGTTAAGATAATCAACTTAAGGCAAGGGGACAGCTGGTCACTGTGGTTTTATCAACTTGACAACAGGCGGTTTACGCCTTCGCCTTGCCTCTTTTACGTAACCACAGCCATTAAGGACGTCATCATTAATTTAACGAAAGCGTTTTACAGTTTATAGCCTATTATTAGAATCAATACGCAGTATTCTAATCAACGGTTAAACGTCTTTCGAAATAATACATCCGCTCTGGTGGTTAATTACGTACAGTTATGAGCTTTGACACCCTTTCTATATAGAAGGTAGTTTGACCTTTCTAAGATCAAAGTGAAGACAAGAAAAACGATATTGTACGAATGCATTAATAATTGGTATGCACTAGCACTAGGACAGGCTATATTATATGACCTAAATATTGGTATTAAGTGGAACTATAAACTTAAATCCAAAATGCATATTGACAGCTGAAACGTGAAAAAATTCGTAAGGATTTAATTTCTTTTAGATCATATAGGAAAATGACAATTTAACACATTGCCCATGAGACGTTTTGTATTTGCTTAAGGGTTCTAATTGCAAGGAATAAAGTGTAGATTAAGCTTTATCGCACATACTACAATGTCAAAGACAAACAGCTGGAAAGCGCACCATCATTTATCCTGAAAATTAACTAACATCTTAGCCACGAGCCACCTATCTTGATCGATTTCTGCTGATAACAACCCCCACGTGTCCACAAAAACCTCCTTTCTCACCTGGTCTTACTTCCAATAATAATCTTCAGTGCATTGATACAAAACAAAGAGATTAGTATCCTTTTATCTTAATTTTGACTTTACCATTATTCCTTAGAATTACATTGAACCGTGAATGGGCCAATATCTAGAGGAAAATTCGCAACAAGACAATATTAAAAATCCTTTGTTCAAAGCATATTGAAACGGTTATTCTTACACTTTGTTTAAAATTTCCACGAAACAATAACCATGTATTAGAGTCAATATCATTTGTATGATAAAGGCAAGCCACAGGGCTGTGTTTTATGTCCGTTCTTATTCATTAAATTCATAAATGATAACAAAAGCTCTTTAGAACTATCTGAGTTCTACTTAATGTCAACTCTCTTGTAAAATCGTGTAAGTTATTAAGGGGGATTACCTCTATTGATATATCCACGCTTAATATTTGTAAACGTGTTATGTTTTTAATAATTTTCTTCGTTCGGGGTTCAGATCAGGAAAGCAGCGAAATCAAAATGGATATTTGATTAGATACATTCATTGATCTAAGGCTGGCGGATACGTTACCCGTGAACCGGATTCAATATTCAATGATCGGAAGAAAGAAGAAGGAAATTTGTCAAGCGCCAACAATTCAGGTGTTATATTATGAAATTAAAATTTTCTTGGGAGAAATCTACTTTCAGTTTTCACACGGAATAAAGATCAATGTGCAATGAATGCCAGATTTAAAGCGTAAAGAAATCTTTAAGAATTTTAATAAGATAGAAAAGAAAATCGAAAGTTCATTTGAAGCGTATCTCCTTTACCTTTCAATATCTTCAATATTTCCCACCCTAATTTAGTAATTAGTTCACCAGAAGATCTTTGATCAATAATTGAACATTAATGAAAATAATATAAAAAAAAACAAATAAATAAGTGCCACAGATATTTTGTAGTAAATGTAGGCCTGTATATATATAACGTTTACCCCAAACAGGGAGTTTTTCATAATTTATGCTGAAAAATATAATACCAAAGTTGTTACATAAAAACTCTAGATATAAAATTAAAATGTGTTAATCAAATTTTCTTTCAAAATGTAGTTTGTCAAAACTATTCTTTCATAAAATATTTCTCCACTCTCAGCAATCACTGGAAACATTTTCCGAGGTACAGAAGTAAGAAGCTCAGCAATGGTGAAAATATGTTTTAAATGAATTAAACCATGAATATTGATATGTTTATTTGATATAAAGAACACCTTTTAAACGACGCAAAATCAAAGCTGTTATTTCAATAAACAGTGCTTGAAATTACCATAAAAACCAGATTCATACAAAATTCATGGGCTTGACGAATAGCATCAACTATGTCGAACAAGAATACATACCGATTTCAAAATCAATAGAAGATATAAAATTCATCTGAGGGCGTCGAATTTCTGGGGAGTAGTTGACCTTAAGGGTCAATTAATATTGCAGGTATCAATAACTAATAATGGGCCGGTTTAAAGAGACAGGTGTTAGATAGAGACTTTATTTTCTATAATGGATAATGTTTATCAGTTTTAAAGTGGCTATTGACTTGAAGGATTAGAGCTCGTTCAATGGATGTTTGGGTCCTTTAATGACAAGCTTCAAATGATTTTTAACAAAATGGAGTATTCTTTTATTAACAGATCTAGAATCAAATAGAATCAGTGTCTAGATTTATATTAGTAACCAAAAACAACCGTCACCCGTTTGTAAAACTAACTGCCAACGTAAGATTTTCTTGATACACTTGTCTACAAATGAGATTCCATAACAAAAAGGGAAACTGATACTTATCAACACTTGTACAAGAGCTCATTTCACCCAAAGCCTAACTCTTCTTGAGTCATTTGTATTAGAGTGTCGAATTTGTACAATTCCATGCTTGCACGATGGTTTTCTGAACCTGAAAGAGCGTGTGTACTCCAAAATCACATTTTAGAGAAGATGATAGCAAAGAACGGCTTCAACCCGAAGTGTCTACAGGGTTAAGGAATGCTCCATGAATGTCAAGTTGATGCAAAAAATATCAGTAGCTTTACGTAGAAACGGCACCCAATCAGATGTGTGTTAACTACTGTTAACTCGAAACTAAACGCAGTATATAACTCTATAATGAAAATGAAATCAATATTCAACGAAATAAGTATTTAAATCTAAATGTAAACTAAAATAACGTAAACGTTGAATTTAAATCGGCACTAGTCACTAGAACAAAGTTATAACCTTTACTCCTTAGATTCTAGATGTCAACTAAAATCCGTATATAGCTCCAGATGTCAACTAGAATCAGTATATTGCTTATGATGTAAACAAAAATCAGCTTTTAACTCTAGATGTAAACAAAAATCAGCTTTTAACTCTATAGATGATAACAAAATCAGAATATAACTCTAAATGTTTACATTGATCAGCATATAATCCCAGATTGCAACTAAAATCAGCATATAACTAGATGTTTATAAGAATAAGCCTAGATGGCAATAACCCTAGATGTTTACATTGATCAGCATATAACTCTAGATGTAAACTAAAATCAGTATATAACTCTAGATGTAAACTAAAATCAGCATATAACTCTAGATGTTTACATTGATCAGCATATAATCCCAGATTGCAACTAAAATCAGTATATAACTAGATGTTTATAAGAATAAGCCTAGATGGCAATAACCCTATAGATGTTTACATTGATCAGCATATAACTCTAGATGTAAACTAAAATCAGTATATAACTCTAGATGTTTACATTGATCAGCATATAACTCTAGATGTAAACTAAAATCAGTATATAACTCTAGATGTAAACTAAAATCAGCATATAACTCTAGATGTAAACTAAAATCAGCATATAACTCTAGGTGTAAACTAAAATCAGTATATAACTCTAGATGTAAACTAAAATCAGCATATAACTCTAGATGTAAGCTAAAATCAGTATTTAACTCTAGATGTAAACTAAAATCAGCATATAACTCTAGATGTAAGCTACAATCAGTGGGTGGTAACTGTGGTGCAAAAAAAAATGATGGTAACTGAAATCAATATCCAGGTCTAGATGGTAACTAAAATCAATATATAACTTTAGACGTTTTCTTCAAATCAGTATAAAACTCTAAATCGTGGTAATTAAATCGGAACATAACTCTAGATGTCAACCAGAAGCAGTATATATATAGTATTTATAGCTCTAGATGATGCCAGCAGCATATAACTCTAGTTGTCAATTAAAATCAGTACACCTCTATTACTCTTACATGCCAACTAGAATCAATATCTAATTCTCTTGATAACAACTAGAACCATTATAATATATGACTCTAGATGTCCACTCAAATCCGCACATAGCTCAAGATTTTAACTTGCATCAGCAATAGCATATAACAGAACATTATATGAACTGATCAAAATAGTAGAATTCTACTAAAACTGTAGGTGTTTATACGATATAGAAAAAAAAAACAACGATACCATAAAAATATCCTATTTGGCTTTTCTATTACAATCTGAATAAATTAATACATTTAATTATATTAATTTCTTTTCTTAATAGCATAAACTGGGCTAGCGTGAAATAAGCTCTTTTATTATTCATGAATATTCAAATCTATGCATTATTTTAATGAAGTTGTCTTTTCACTTGAACGAAGACGAAGACTAATTTTAGTAATAGCTTATCAATACATTTATATTTTTATTTCATTAATTTTCGCCATAGTATTAATTAAATGTTGTTTGTCACTTTTTACACGAGGAAGTGCACTTAGAAAGTAGGACAAATTTTGTATCCATTAGTGCAGCTATAAAAGTTACTTCAAATACGTGGTTCGAACAAATGCTGGTCGGGGTTCCTAGTATCGGTCGGCGAAAGTCTGCATGGTGATCTTGGATAAATCACATTTCCTCATTATTCCAGTAGATAATGCTAGAAGACCAAGACCATTGTTCAAGGACCAACAGTGAGAAACGTGTTAATACCCTAGTAAAAAATTATGCCGTGAAAGTACCGTTGCTGTTGTCAATCGTTTACTCGTTGTCACTGATGTAGGTCACAAAAATTCAAGAACAAATGTACTAAAAATATTCCACACTTAAGATTAATCTAACACCACTTCTATTGCATGTTTCCCTTTCACTGCAATTGTGTGGGTTCGTTTTCGTCAGTTCAAATCAGAAACATATTGGAGTAATCGGGGCACAAAACATTTCCAAGAGAATATGTACAGATACAGTACAGATCTGATATTTAAAATATTCAAAACAATTCGATATAGAACCGATAATCAAAATATCTGGAAAAAAGTGAAAAACTTTCACTATGTACTTATCGGTATTTGAAATTATAGTGTTGTCACCTTCTAATAAATCAAATCAAATAATATATAGAAAAAGAGAAAATTATATTAATACCAATATGAGAGAATAATACTAAAAAGTTTATGAGGAATCTATCACCATATATATGTCCCCTAGGAAGATAATCTATATTCTGCAGCCAGCAGATTGTTTGGCATTTTCAATAGCATTTCTCATTAGAGAAATTGGTTTTTCTTTCCTTGTACCTGAAAGCAACTCTTTTCCCTACTTTTAGCGATTGTTAAATAATTCACAAGATATTCAGTTATTAATCGCTATCATACAAGTGTCGCCTCGCAATTATTTCAAATACCACTTAAGAACAGTGGATGCAGATGACGTTTATTAATCCAGAAATCCCACGTGGCGTCGTCGTTGCTTATAATTCTTGCTCGAGTATATTTGGTCACGTGAGAGTAAAATACGTCTGCTAATGGTACGAGACCGCGCAATAAGTTTACAAATCGTGACATTTTCGCGCGTTTTCTCTCGGGACTGTCGGCATTGTATGTTGTCTATTTATTTTAGCGAAACTAAATTAAAGGTAACAGAATAACAAATATTAGAAACTACCTGTCTTGCAATAAAAAGGATTTTGATAGAAGCTTGGAATCGGAAAAGCCATTAATGAATCTCAAGTGATTGGCAAGATTACAGTGCTAAGTAAAGACTTGAAATGAGTTTCTAAACACTTTTATTCATCAAAGGATTGGAACGACATATTTCTCCTGAATTCACAATCTCCAATTTACAAAGTGTCACATATTGAATGCGTTCTATTATTAATACTTAAGTTGTAAGGAGATTGCAAGACAATGACGGTAGAGAATTCTAGTCACATAGGAATAAAGTGAATCAACATGTTCTCAAATAACGTTTTCAAGAATTCAATGAAAAGATTTTCCATATTCCCCACGTAAAACATATTATAATTACTAATTGAAAATATAAATATTCGTTGTTTGCAGTCTCACCAGAGTGGGTACGTGATTTCAGATTTGTTTTTAAAAATGAACGTAATTTGTCCCACACAGTAAAATTAAAATATGCACGGGTAAAGTTTTATTACTTTGGATATTTTCAGGAAACTCACAAATCACTGTAACGTAGCTATTTCAACTGTGAATTTATATAAATGAAGTTACAACTCATTTTTTACCATCTCAGCCAGTCATTATTCATAACGTTACTCAATTTTCAATAGTAGAAGTCACTCTATTCATTTCATCTCAACTCGTCATTATTCATAATTTTACTTTTAATAATGCAAGTAACTTCTCATAATGTAATATCTAAACAAGTTATTATTCATAATGTTACTCTATTTTAACAATACAAGTTACTACTCATAATGTAATATCTAAACAAGTTATTATTCATAATGTTACTCTATTTTAACAATACAAGTTTATACTCAAAATGTAATATCTAAAGAAGTTATTATTCCTAATGTTACTCTATTTTAACAATACAAGTTACTACTCAAAATGTAATATCTAAACAAGTTATTATTCCTAATGTTACTCTATTGTAACAATACAAGTTACTACTCATAATGTAATATCTAAACAAGTTATTATTCCTAATGTTACTCTATTTTAACAATACAAGTTACTACTCAAAATGTAATATCTAAACAAGTTATTATTCCTAATGTTACTCTATTTTAACAATACAAGTTACTACTCAAAATGTAATATCTAAACAAGTTATTATTCCTAATGTTACTCTATTTTAACAATACAAGTTACTACTCATAATGTAATATCTAAACAAGTTATTATTCCTAATGTTACTCTATTTTAACAATACAAGTTTATACTCAAAATGTAATATCTAAAGAAGTTATTATTCATAATGTTACTCTATTTTAACAATACAAGTTACTACTCATAATGTAATATCTAAACAAGTTATTATTCATAATTTTACTCTATTTTAACAATACAAGTCATTTCTCATAATGTACCATTTCAACAACACAAGTCATTATTCAGAATGTTACTCTATTTTAACAATACAAGTCACTTCTCATAATGTAATATCTAAACAAGTTATTATTCATAATTTTACTCTATTTTAACAATACAAATTACTTCTCATAATGTACCGTCTGAACAACACAAGTCATTATTCGTAGTTTTACTCTATTTTAACGATACAAGTCACTTCTTATAATTTACCATTTCAACGATACATTAGGTCAATATCCATAAAGTAACCTTGTGTCGATTTAATAATACAAGTCACTATTTGAAAAAATTACTCTATTTTATGATCTATTGTGAAGACGTAACATTAAAAGTGCACTCTATCCAAATGGGTGGATCATCTTGGGCGAATGATAACAATGTAGACGTATAAAATCAAAATAAAGAACATCATTAAAATGTAATTGCAAAATACCATTTTCTCAAATTAACATCATATAAAAAGTCATCACCTGGCCTAAGATATTGATTCAAGAATTAAATTTCTTAAAATGACTTCAATTTTGTTGACATCCTTTATTGACTCAGACCGCCAGTTGTGTAAATGAGACAAGCTCACGACATGTTACTTAGAGAAAACGTACAACTTGTACAATTTGAACACCTTTTCTTGAACAAACTTATTTTCGCTCCATAATTAACTTATTTGTCATGCTGCGTGTCGTATTTTACCTTTCTTAATGATTTAATTTCTCCAGCTGTAGAGGCGTGGAACGATAAACTTCCAACTGGGTTAATAATATTGCTAAGCTGGTTGGCTGTGTCTCGAGGATATGCAGTATTGGATAAAATTGGTATAATACTAGGTATATATGGTTCTTAGATGGAAATAATATTTATGTAAGAACCATGTGTAGTTTCGTATGTTAAAATTGGTTAAAAAATAAATGCATAAGTAGATATAAATGAATAAATAAATTCAAACTATTTTTACTTTAAAAAAAAATGCTTAACACATCCATTTTAGAGCGATATAGCGTGAAACTTTGAGTAACGACATGTTTCAGTAATGTCTATAAATATATGCATAAATAAACAACATTAATGATGCCTTTAACCGGAAGTAGTTGCGTTCAGAATAGAGAAGAAATCACAAATGCAGAATTATATTCACGTTAAATATAATATGTTGAGGAATTTGTTTTAAGGATGATAATTTTGCTCTCTTACTCTACTTTCGGAAAAACATAAATGCCAATTTCCGACCTCAGAACATTTAAAAACCAATCTGTTTGCATTTCTGTTGGTGTTCAACAAATGATGTTTCGTTTAAATTTCGCCGTCGTGATCCGGTGATAAATATGGGTACAAACCACATAAAAGAAACATCAGACTCGTGCCTATGACGTAATGTAATGTCATGACGTGACAGGTGTACACGAAAGTCAACAAGTTAGGCCCTAGAGGTGAAGAAGTCGCGTGTCCCTTTCATCTTCCCGATCATGTCACCAGTCGAGAGCAGGTGACCCTACATAGATACCCGTAGACTAAGTTCAATTCAATTCATTTCAAATATAAGAAACAAAACAAAGCCATTGTTACAAAAATAAAAGCCTAAATTCCAAGACATCATCTTTCTTTGTTTGGGAGTCAACGACCCCCTGTAATGATCAACAAAAGTTGGAGTAGAAATCACAACAATTACTTTAGAGTGCTAATAAAATAAAAATTACTTTTAAATAGACAAGTGTCAATCGACTCAAAGGAAGTGGGAGAGGGTTTTAACTTTAAAGGAAAACTGTCTGCAATCATATGACCCAAAATCACGGCCGGAAGATGTTTGGCTTTATTGTTACCATAATTGTAGGAAATACGAACAAAAATAGTTATCTCATCGAACGATTAAGTATCCGGAATAGGCTCTTTAAGGGGTTTTTTCTTCATTAGTATTTCAGGCAGCTTTTCCAAGAAAAATGTAGCTAAAATTTTTTTTTACTGAAGTTTGATTCCACACGATAAATGCATACCATATTTGGTTTCTTTTGAGATGCTCTATGAGACCTCGGAGACAATTAGCACACAATTGAAATTGAATTTTCGTGAAACTAATGAATTAATTTAATCATCTTGTCAGTTGTCAGAATAAACATTCTACTGTCAAACCACAATCAGTTTAAAATTGAATTCATATTAATTGAGATTAAAGTTTATAAATGTCTATGCCATTCGTATGGTCATGTCTTGAGGTCCAATAAAATATAAGGTACATGTTACATGTATGATGATTTTACATTTGAAATAATTTCACTTCCTACTCGGGGGGGGGGGGTAGATTCTCCCAAATGCACAGGCCATGGATGGAACAATTACATGTAGGCCTACTTCATTTGGAAATTGGAGTTTTGCAAAATACAAGGGAACATTATTGTCCTACAGCACAGCAAATTCCGTTAATGATTTTCATAGGTTGTGATTTTATTCAACACTTTGTACTGGTTTCGGACGATAGAAAAAAAAATACGAGAAAAAAAAACGTACCTTTTCACTTCGTGGATGGCTTGTATTTCATGCCTTGAACTTGATGAATCAATAAATTTGATCACATTGAAATGGGTATTCCACATGTAGCCTAATTGGGCAAATATAACCATGCTGATGTGCTTGTCAAGGAAGTCAAATCTTTTTCGATACAGACGTGAATATCAAATCTTTTCCAATAAGTTTTTGTTATGTTCATTTGGTCACAATAAGAAGAATATCTTTTCAGACATGGCACGTGAAAACGGTGCCTTTTTCTCAATGATCAGTTTGCACGAGCTTGACCCGACATTGATGAAACTCTGGGTCGCAGAAGTGTGCCGCATTCGTCACCACTCGGGTTAATCTGGATTCGAAATAAGCTCCATTCGTCACCACTCGGATAAATTGTTCCTCTGCACATGTACTTAAGACATGATTTGTAATTGGGTCAAGAAATGACCCATTTGTTTTAATCACGTACTTAATGATTCGTGTGTTCATTGACTGATAATATCAGCTAATTTAATTATTTGATCGTTGTTTTGTATAAGTATTCACAGCTTGCAATTCTTTTTATAAACAATGGTAGAGATACAAGAACAGATGAAATTAGTATTTTAATGATCATATTCAACTATATAAATAATGTCAACAGTTACCATACATCACCACAAATAAACTTAATTCTTTAATATACAATTAGTAAGACTTAAATAACAGTTGGATCAAAACTTAAAATAAACCAACTTTTAACAATCTTTCAGTGGCCCACTGCCCAATTCTCATTTACATATTGCTTACTTTAGAATCTCAAATATTGCTAACCTTTTTTTACTCTATGCAATTTATAAATTCTGTCTTTCTGTTATAATTATACCCAAAAATACGAACATCTATTTGAAGTGACAGGGCTAGGTTTACACCCGAGGGGACGAAATATTTGAGATTGTCCGAAATTCTAACCTAGTTATGAGATTTTTGCCTGAAAAACTTGTTTTCGGGGCTGCGCGTGACGACTGCCCCCTCTGCCACCCCTTGGCTCTGCCACTGTCTATTTGATGCTAAACAAATTCAAATTTCATTAGAATAAAGCTCAACATATTTTGGTGGTTTCTAGATGCAAAAGCGTGAGTACAGTAACCAACAGTAACTAAACAAGCAGTATTTTAATCAAATCTAAAACCAGCATCTGGTAAGTGACAATTTAATTTGCAGTGAGATTCCTTATACTACATCTTAAAACTCAAAATATATCAAAAACATTTTTGACCAAAACTCCTTCGGCCTTATTCTCGAAAACTTAACTTAAATATAATCATGGCTTTAAGAAATACAGTAATCTAATTGGTTAACAAAACTCAATTCAAAATTAATTTTAGAGTTTGACCAATCAGATGAACAGAGCTCTAAAATCCTCTTAAGGGAAGTTTTCAAGAATTAAGCCCACCCCGTGTAAATCAAGATGTTGATAAATTAACCTAGACTAAGCAGGACTGGAAACTATTTGACCGGTAACAAAAACCACCCCCTACTTTTCAGAAATGTTTGTATTTGCAACAGTGTTCAGGATCTGAAGAAGAGTTCAATAAAGAGTTGAAAGAAGTCGGACTGGCAGTTTATTTTCTTGCAAATATTTTTTGATATTACAAACAGCCAAATGGGGCTATACCTTAATGGCTTTAAACTTTCTTGCTTTTGTGCTTCATGAATAAAATCTTCAACATAAGCATCAAATTAGAATCAGCAGATATAGTTGTCGAAATATTTGGTAAACCCTCAGATAAAGGCCAATTCGGGTTGTATTACATTTTCAAATTGAAAATCCAATGTTGGGCAATAAAAGTAAATGACAGATGGCCATAATCAATAAAATGACATCATCAATGTATTAACCTTATATTTACATTTTGAAAAGTGATACAGATAGCTAAAATATAACTATCAATTAAGCAAATATGAAGACAACTATATCTGAGCTAGTCTGTCCTATACAGGTATGGTTCCACTCTACTTTGAACTTTTAACATGAATTATAATTCTAATAATACAGTTCTAGGGTCTTCAACACTGGACTTAATTTTACGTAAAAATGTGACTGCCTCTCGTCCATCTATCAATCTATGATCATAAGTTAAGGCAACATACATCATTGGTCGAATTTTAACCTGCAAAAATAATCACACATTCAATTAAGGTATTTTTAAAATTAGTTAACAGAGAACAAAACTTACTCCAAAAGTTGACATAGAACTTCTATTGATTTCAAAGACAATTTTATCTACTGGTAAACATGGTTTTGATATGATATTTGCATATTTGCATATCATTATTGCCAGAGAAGATAAAGTTGTTCTTCATTTAAAGATGGGTTCCCTTATTTTCATTCATGAAGATGAAAATGCTAATACTTATATGAATAGAATGTAGAGGTGTTCTAATGAATTGGAAAAATACCAGTTTGTCTCACTGGTCCATAATTAGCTAAATTAGAAGAGAATTACCAGCAGAATTCCAATGAGTGACCCATCAAGAAAGGTCAAAAAGTATTTTTTTTGTTTATCCAGGTTGTACATACATGGACATTTATAATTGGTTAAACTCTTAATTATATACAATAAGAACATACTGATATGTTTAAGAATACATGATTCATTAGAAAGACAATAAATCAAATAATTTCCTTATTTGACACTAAAAAATAAGGAAACCCATCTTAAAAATGTCATGTCTTTTTATACAAGTACATGAAATCCACAAATATTTGATGCAGTCAAATGCACAGAACAAATCAAAGTGTTTTATGGTAAGAGCACCTACCGTTCCATCAATTGCAACTGGTCTATCAAATATACCATGCATTCCTAATATAGCTGATTGTGGTGGATTGATAATGGGTGTACCAAATACTGAACCAAACACACCACCATTACTGATGGTAAAAGTTCCTCCATCCATGTCTTCAATAGCTAAATTACCATCTCTTGCCTATAGTTTTGAAAAAAGCATTTAATATTACCCCTTTTCTATGTCCTATTTCTTTTGCTCCTTCATGGTTTAAATGAAGGCAGTGTCAATATGCCTTTTCTAGATCAATTAGCAAGTGTCTAACACAGTGCTTTTCAAACTCAAATGAGATTATTCCTCCCCAAAAGAGTTCTTCCAAATCTATTCCTCCCCAAAATAAATCAGTCATTTCGAAATATATTTCACTTTAAAACTATGAATGGATATAAAATCATACTCCACATATCGAGATAATTCAATGTGATTCTTGGGTCGAGTGGTCGTTCACAATTTTCTGTATGTCCATGGTGATGTCATTTTCAGTCATAGATCACCTTGCCATCCGTTTCCACCCAGTCCAACGATTCTTCCAGATTTCTCCACCTGGCAATAAGCCCTTAGGGAAGAATTTCTTTACTGATGAGATGCACTGATCCAACAAACAAAACACCTTATAATAATATCTTCATAAAACTTGACAGCATTTTTAAAGAATATTTGATATCTGTTTTCTCTATACCTTTTCCTGTTGTTAAATACGTAATCAGTCATTCATACTTTACACTGCAGTTATAGAGTCAGTTATAGAGTCAATTTCACATCATCAGAATCATAAACCATGACCCTGATTTGGATACCACAACAAAGGAAAGAACTGAACTACATGGGATCCACAAGCTCAAAACTACGGCTCAGCTAGGTATCAGCTAATTTAATAACCTTTCCTACTGTCACTGACCAACTTTATTCTATTTTCATGTTAAGCAATAGGCAAACTCAAGTATATGGAAAAAATTATTTTGTGAAATTTTTTTTTCTGTATAATACACATTTTAAGTTAGTTATCTACATATTTTTCAATATTTGAAAAAAAATTTAATATATAAACTACATAACCTACCTTTACACCTAATTCTGCTATATTTTTTTCTATATCAGCAAAATTCATTGTTTCTACATTTCTTAACACCGGTACTACTAAACCCTGAAATAGTCATAAGCTTAAAATGAAAATTAAGAATCTAGGAACATATGAACAATTAAATAATAGTAAGGTATACAACTGAATTGTCTTTTATTATTGTCTTATTATAAGAAAGGTACTGTCTGTAAAATGTTAAAAAAATGTCAATCTTTGAGTACTCGACAGTCTTGCTGATCCTGCATTGTTTTGCGGTCCCAGTGTTTGTCAGATTACACAGAGTATACTGTACTTTAGAATCTTAACACTTCAAAATTGAACTAGTATAAAACATTTAAAAGTTCCCTCGGTTGTCATAGTTTTAAGTGATTGAGCCAGGTGTAAGCATATAATTGTTGCAAGTGATTTTTAATAAAGTAATGATCTCAAGGTTCCACTCCATGAATGGGATTGTCAACTCCACATCACTTTAAAAGAGAAAATACACAGAGCTTATAACAATGTTTCCTATGAATACCATCTTCATCTTATATCTTTGACTGCAATAGCCACTTTTCTTGTATTATGAAAATGCAGTGATTAAATTGGATTGTATGCTAGGGAATAAATACAGCCAACCACATTCTTCGACAGATAGACTGTAAACTAATGGCTTGTTGTTTAGTCTTTCATACCAGGACTAAGGTACAACTAAAGGTGGTTATTGCAGTCAAGGTATAAGATTGCTTGACATAGCAAAGATGATTAAATACAACCATTCCAAATCCACAGAACACAGGTGGTACCTTAGGAGTAGATACAGCAACACTAATATCAATATAGTCTCTATATACTATTTCTGTATTGTCTATAACAGCATTAACTACAGGTTGATCTTGTAAAGCATAAGCAGAGGCTTTCACAAATGCTGACATAAATCCTAGTTTTAAACCCGTTTTCTTCTGAAATGCATCTTTATAAGTAGCTCTCATTTCCATAATATTACTGAAAAGATAAAGAACCACAAATTAACTTTAAGCCTAATTAGTTCTCATTTCATTTCTACAATATTACTCAATTGATTAAGAATCAAACACCAGCAAAATGCCTAAATCTTAAGAGTTTACTTTATTCATTTGTATGCTAATTCACTGCTCAGGAGTATTGAATCAACCAAGCAATACTGCCTTATATTTACATATATATAATAATATAGTATTATTTATCATTTATCAAAATAAGGTCATTATCTAATAAGGCCAGACCAATTTATTTTCCTGTTTTACTCATTTTCTTTTTAAGGCCGGTGGGGAAAAAAAAATACCCAAATTTACCTGAAGGACAAGAGAAAAGAAAAAAAAAAAAATTACGTAAGCCAGGGTTGACCTGGATTCTCCTACTATCTCAGTATTGATTTAATCAAAAAACATTTATTTCATTAATATTAATTATTAAAGTTTTTAACGATGTTTTTTTTTTCATCAGGAAAGGCGCTTTTTTTTTTTATTTCAGCAAAGCTCTTTTTTTCTGATTTCTAGAAAATTGTGACAGGAGGATTGGTAAAACAAGAAAATAAATTGGACTGGTCTCAGTTTAAATGTTAAAGCTATGTATCAAATTGGGGATTTACTTCTCCAAATCATGAGATTCAACATTTCAACAATTAGAAGTAGAATATACGTTTTTCTGAAGAATTGGACTTGAATCCTAAATAGACTGTAATAAATAAATAGCTACTAGAGATATTTACAGCCATTAAGAAACATCTGCTACCGGAGTCTCATTATCATACAGTCTATATACTAGAGTGAACAAGACAATTAATTTCTTTCTCTAGCTTTATGAACAATATATATATATATTATCAGTTTCTCACTGTACAATAACAATCTTGTACATCAATAACTGTAACATATTATTATTCATATTCACATCTTAAAGGCATTGTTAAGACTATCTCAAATTGTTTTAGGCATTGGTCTTAAAGGCACAGTCAAGACTATTTCAAATTGTTTTAGGCATTGGTCTTAAAGGCACAGTCAAGACTATTTCAAATTCTTTTAGGTATTGGTCTTAAAGGCACTGTCAAGACTATCTCAAATTGTTTTAGGCATTGGTCTGACTATCTCAAATTGTTTTAGGTATTGGTCTTAAAGGCACTGTCAAGACTATTTCAAATTGTACTGTCAAGACTATCTCAAATTGTTTTAGGCATTAGTCTTAAAGGCACTGTCAAGACTATTTCAAATTGTTTTAGGCATTGATCTTAAAGGCACTTTCAAGACTATTTCAAATTGTTTTAGGCATTGATCTTAAAGGCACTGTCAAGACTATTTCAAATTGTTTTAGGTATTGGTTTTAAAGGCACAATCAAAACTATTTCAAATTGTTTTGGGCATTGATCTTAAAGGCATTGTCAAGACTATTTCAAATTGTTTTAGGCATTCATGCACCATAGTGATCTGCAAGATTCTAAGACTATTTGATATAATTGTACTAATTGGTCAAACAGAACATGACTCATAAATACTGGCAACCATTGTATATGAAACATATTGCTATATGTATATATTACTATTTCATACATTTCCATCTGGGAAATTGACTTAAAGATAAAAAAAATGGAACTGAGCTAATCAACTTAAAGGGACAGATCCGCCATTTTGGACTAATCCTACCTTATATCTCAGAAACAGGAATTTTTTAAGCTAAGACAATCAGTTATAGTGTTCATAACACACATTTGGAATTTGAGCCTTTAAATCCAAGTGTGTCGAGAATTATCCGTGTTTGAAAGTTAAAAAGAAAAGTCTTTTCTTGAGACACTGTCATATATAGAAAAGACATCTATAGAAATAGGAAAAGACATTCCTACTTTGAGATATTTTTAAAGGGATTATGTGATTTTCATACATGTTTAGTACTTCTGAAGACTATTTACATATATACAAGACTCAAATGGTGAACTAGTCCCTTAATCACCCAAATACTTGTTGGACTTCAGACTAATAGCCTGCTTGAAGCATCATTACAATTTTGACCTACAGGCTACTATTTTACATAAGATGGAGAAGATGAAAGCACTTAAAATTAGTGACATATACAGAATCATATAGTTTAATATGTCCACCCATAGAATCGAATCGAAGTGTGTCATGTTTAGTGACAAACATATCAAATAGGCTAGTACAAAACTAAAAAAAATCAGTTTAAAGAACATAAAAAGTCTTAAAGAAAGATCCCTTAATTCCAATTATTCCAGAACATGATTTATTATTAAGGTATAAAAATAGATTAAACCATTCCTTTAAAGTGCAATAAATCATTTTCTGAATATGCAATTACTTACTATTTATTTCTTATGAATATATTCAAATATTATATTTACCTCATATCAATTTCATTAAATGTTGTTAACATGGCACAAGATAACTGAGCAGCTTTCAGGCGTTCTGCTATTCTTTGTCTCATGCGAGTCATTTTCACCTGAAAAAAATGTGGCATTTCAAATAAAAGCAGAAATATTGGCAAATATATACGTCAGTAAGGCATTAGTTATTTATTAAAGAGTTACATATAAAAATAAGTCCCAAACTATTATAACTTTCATGCAGAGTAAAGAATATCTCATTCAAACATCAATCTTTTTTTTTCAATGGTCTTAGAAATATAATTTTTGCAAATGATTAAGTTGGACTTACCCTTTTTTCACCACGACCATCACTAACAGATTCACTAGGTGCTGACTTAACAGACACTGAGGAAGTTGGCTTTGAACTAGTAGGACCTGTAGGCATGGGAGGGACAGGTGGGGGAGAGGTAGGGATAGGACCATCAGATTTAGTTGAAGTATCGGCTTTAGCTTCTTGTTTAGGTTCCTCTTTGGGCTGTTCTTTAGGGGGAGCTTCAGCTGCAGGTTTGGACTCTTCTGCTGTTGGTTTTGACTCTGATTTTGCTGCTCCATCTCCAGCTTCTAAGTGCAGAAAAATATTTTTACAATTTTGATTTTGGAATGTCATGCCCTATGGAGATAAAGATAAGGAAACCTCACACACTCAAACCGGACAAAAATGAATCAATGGCTGTCAAAAAGGATTTCTGAAGAGTGAAGGATCAGTATTTTAATCTACTATATAGAAAGAAAGAGATAACCAAACTTACTGCCAGGTTTGATTTTAACTAAAGGTGTTCCGGGGGATACTGTATCACCATCAGATACCAACAGTTCTTCTATTACTCCTGCACAAGGAGCATTTAGAGCAACATTTGTCTACAACAAAATACATCTGATCAGTTTTGGAATCAGTACAATTTATTTTCATTGATCTTAAAAGCTAATCTAATGGAACTAAAACAAATTCTGATGATAAGATCCTTCATCAAAACAACTAAGGGTCAAATTATTTCCAAACTTTCATTTTTTTTTTTTTTATTAGCTTTTATCTTTAAAATAGCCACTTCAGTTAGGGTCTAACAACAGCCCTCTTATTTTTTTTCAAATTAACCTTCTGACTTAACTCGATGACTTCTGGTTTAACCAATCAAATTTCTCTTTCCCTTGACCTGCATGGAAGGCTCAACTTGAAGTGCATATTCAAGATACAATTAGGCTTGTGATTTGAGTTAAATAACATACTTTATCTGTTTCAATTTCTCCCACTAGTTCATCTTCATTAACAAAATCTCCAACCACTACAAATATAAGATAGAATAAATTCAATGGCCAAATGTAGGTCACATTTGAATAAAACAAAATACTTAAAATTTCAAAACATTTTTTGAAGTTATGTGGTTAAATCAGGCCGAATTTTCTAAAGGTTACTTAACTCACCTTTCTCGAAACGAATATCACCTTCTGTTATTGACTCAGCAAATGCTGGACAATTCACTACTTGTGATTCACCTGCAATACAATCATACAGTAGGTTAAAATCTTTTGCCTTTGAAAGTCTCCAGAATTGAATAGCCCCACAAAATGTCACAAGAAAACCTCAGAGCAGATGACAAGGAAAAAACAGCAATTTAACAGTTGCTCATATCTGACTGTTATGGAATGCATCTAGATCAGTCTTCACATTTAACAAGTGGTTGCCTAGCAAGATATGCCCACTTCCATAATGCATTTTCAGTATAGCAAGGGCAGTCTGTGTCAAATTATACGAAAATTAACATGTTCAGGTTTGTTGATGTCTTAGCCAACACACAAAATTTCATAAAATTCTGACATAAACTGTCACCTCTATCCCCATTCACAAGCCACATTTAATATAATTTAGTGTATCATTAAAATCACATCAAAACTGTTGTCTCTATTTTGTTCACTAGAAATGCTGATGGACCAACCAACAGACAGGGGCAACGGTAAGAAGCAGGCACACTTTTACTACATCTACATATTTACTAGTATTTCAGAATGATCAACATACCAAACACACATGTAAATTTATAAATTCTTACTTACTCAATAAGTAGCTTGAAGTGTGAAAGTTTCTCCTTTGACTATTAGGTTTAGTAAGATCAAAGACTGCTCTATAAATAGAAAAGGGTCAGGTTCCAAATAGGACTTCAATGAAGACATAATATTTAATTAACATTTCATAAGTGATATATAGATTTCACAACAGTTACATATAACAAGGATTTCATTGACGGGGGACCATCCACGCACCCCTGCATTCCTTTGTTGATTAAGAGGGTATTTATCATGTCGGAGGGGTGGTGGGATCTTCTACAGTGGGAGCCCTAAGAATACATCTAACACGATTTCGGAAATGATTTTTTATTTCACTTTCTCACAAACAAAAAACAAAACAAATCCAGTTCCATGGATCTTTTCTATAAACTGGTCTTTCCTGGATTATTTGTTTACATCTAGATAAACCATATAACTTTGAAAGAGAACTCAAAGTTTCTTTAAAGAAAACCAAGTCTATAATTTCAGTAAGACATACAACAATGAAAGAAACCTATATTGCCTACCTTTGACAATAGCTTAGCGCTGGTAAGCATTGTTTACTAACAACAGCACTGGTGCCTAAGAAATCTTGTAATTTGGCACCATCAGCCTGCAATTTAAAACAGACTTTAGGTTTAAACTAATGATTGCTTTTATTTTAGAAATACTAATATGGCATAATTGGGCAAATAAATATTAAAGGTAATATTTTTCTCACTTAAAATTATTACAAATATTTTCAAAACTTTTTGAATTTTTCAGCTTGACTTTCTGCAAGTGGTGGGTCTTTTAACACTAATCTTTGCCAGTAGTCACAAAATATTTGTCTTTAAGGGACTTCACAAGGCAAGATAAAACCGCAAAACTCCTTTTGAGGTTGAGATTTTTCAATTTGAGAATCTTAAACTGACATTTTTTCAATTTGCGGCAATCTTTATGTTGGAGAAAATAATCATACCAAAGTAGATTAAAAGTCAATTTTGATACAGTCTCGCCCTTATTAAGTCAATAGAGTCTAGATAGTGATACATTGTCCAGTTAAACTACAAGAGGTCAAAATAAGACAATTAGTGTCAAATCCCTTCACAAGATTCCATTTAGACATAGCATACAAACAACAATCAAATAGCCACAAGACCCCACCAGCTCCCTGTACCTATATCAACTAGTTATTATGCTTACTCATCAGAGTCTTTGCATTCTTTAAACCAAACTCTAAGGTTAAGTTCCCAGCCTTTAGTGGCAATATGTCAACATGGTGTTGAAGTCGGTATGGCCTCCCAATGGTGGTCTCGAGACTGGTACTAAGGTCAACTTAGGCTACGTCAATCTACTAACGTTTGACGATAAATTAATGCAAGTATTTGTAGTCTCTATTCACCAGATCATAGACACAAGGAAGGCGAGTTATGTGACTTGCTAAGTCGGTGTTTTGGTAAGCTTGTTCACTAAGTCACAAGTCAACAATGACATAGTTGACTAAAAGAGACGGAGTAAGAGAGGTAGTGTTAGCTTCTCACACCCCCATACATTTCAACAAATTGTGTGGTCTCTAAACTTTTCACTAATTTGCAATTCATCTTAGCCTGTATAATTAGAGTTTTGTGTGTATTTATACTGAAGTCCGATGCTAGTAATTAGCATACAAAGCGCCAAGAAGATATAAATCAGACCCAAGTATCAAACTAAAAGTAGAAAGAAGACTAAATTAAGAAAAAGTTCTCATTTTAAATGAAAAGGATTAACCTACACTCATTTGAAAATTAGCAATATTAATCAGATGCAAATTTAGAAGGCCAATACAACAAAGAATTCAAGACTATTATCTTTTGTCTGTACCACAATCACATTCTATTGAAGATTAAATATATACCTAATGTAAGTTTATATGAAACCAGAGATTCTTTCAAATATTCCAGAACTGGAAGGGATTTTGGAATCTCTGGACTGATTAAAAGCAAAATCCAATAAGCAGAATTCAAAATAAAAAAAAAAACTATTATGCACTGTCAACATATTTCTAAAAATGAAATGAAATGAATGGAGTTTTACGTCCTACTTTTCTGCACCATGTGGGCTAATGAAGACGGGGCATGCAGGGTTCAAAGAGAAATTTTGCTAGGACAGCGGCATTAGTCTGCTCTTTTTAGATTTCCAACTGTCAAGGGATCTTTAACGTGCACAGCCTGTAGCACACAGGGCCTCGGTTTATTGTCCCATCTGAACGATGAAACCGGGTAGAAAAATCCGAAGGTATCATCTTGACCTATGCTGGGATTGAACCCTGGACTTTCAGGTTAGCGAGAAAGCGTCTAACTCACTGAGCCACCGCGGCTCACAACATATTTTTGAGAAAAACTATAATCTAATATTTTGAATTATATTTACATGTTTTAGTACCTTTACATGAAAATAATTATTGCATCTAAACCGCAGAATAACACTACACAGTATTCTTTCTTTGCACACCACACCTTATGCACAAGTGATTAACACAGTGAACATGACCAATATTTGAGAAATATGTTTAAAATAATATTGATATAATTTTAAGAGATGACAATGTATTTGTCTGGTCACATCAGGTTATCTATGGGTCTGGTAATTTCACTGACCTCAAAGTGAAAACAAAGAACAGCGATGAAATATTTTTGACACATTTCTTGCCATTATGATGACAAGCTGAGTTCATTCAAAACACATTATGACAAGAATGTGGTCCTGAACTGGTGACAAAGTTGAGAAAAGCATCACTTTCACCCTTCAGATTAGAGGTTACAGGTGTCCTGAGCTGTGAGAATGTAACTTTAGGTCAACTTACATAGCATCAGTTTCCATTAAAACTATCAAAATATAGGGGTAATTGTCATAATGAATATAAAACAGTTACCTTGTCAAAATCTATTCATTATTGTTATGAAAAGTCAGGAGACAGATAATAAGCTTATATAATCAGAATGTAATCCAGTCTAAGGTCATTTACCCACATGGAGAGAGCATGCTGTTAGGTTGAAATAGACAACAAATAAGAAAAGCAAGTTGGCAGCCAGTTATTCATTTCATGGTCTGTCAACATAGGTTAAAAAAAAAATTAATGTATTACAATTCAAAAATTGACAAATTCCATAAGTCATTCTGTAAGCTTCAAACATTCTCAAAAGAATTCTCAGAAATAACTTGAAGAAAAAATATGAGACAAAGATATACACAAATGAAAGAGAAATGGACAAAATTGTCACGCTTTTATCACATGCACCAGAATCAAATCACCAACAAGGATGATCACCATATATAAGAGGTTCGACTTCATCCTAATTACTTTTCTAAACCAAAAACAAGAGATGTTCCAATATAACAAATTCCAAAAAAATAACATTTTGCATCGGAAGAATGATTGAGTTTCTAACACCTCAAAAACTTGGAAAACCCTTATGGTCTTTGTGTGAATTGAGTCCTGTCTTATAAAACAAAGCCTTTCTCTCCATGGGTGATATTATCTTCAATAATTATGGAATTTTGCATGAAATTTACAAATACATATCATGTTTTCTAGAGCTTTTATATATGCAGCCAATTAAAAATTACATGTACATGTGATTTGACATCTTCATAATATTAAGTTGTAACGTACACCCCTTATACCCCCAGATTAAAGCACAGCAAAATCGTTTACAATCTTGCTCTGATTGGCTGTATTCACTAGTATAAGGTTTTATAAGAGATACTCTCTTATAGAAGCACTGGCAAAGTGTCAGATACAATTAGTAATAGCTTGACATCGTGAAGATGACATAATAATAATAAAAAGAGGTTTCGACCAGACTATGACATCAATACAGTGAGATTGAGTCAAGCAATGTATTTGCAAACTACGATAGGCTTGTGGGGCTCCGATTGGCTAGCAAACAATCAAATGAAACGCTGCATTGACAAACTTCGGTGATAAAATAAAAGTATCCCAAAACAATCCAGGTATTCAACAGAGCTCCTTATTCCCTTGAAGACGTCAATACACATACAAAAGCTTAGGGTACAGGTACAGTACCCTTTTTGTATTTTGTATGTATGTTAAGTCATTATATACAAATGACATACTCATTGGTAGTATCCTAACAGGTACTGTAGGCCTATGCTCAAAGCTTATATGCTATGTACTTATTTTGGATTACTCAGTAAAATGTACAGTACAAGTGAAAGACACACTTCCCTTACAAAAATTTATTGGTAACCATTGTAGTCGTTCTCAAGATATAGCAAAAGTGTTCAAAAAGTTGGTCTACAGTGACATCATTAGCCAATTGCCCATAAAACTTGCTCGGCATTGGGATAAATGATAGGAAATATTGCTATAAATTTACATTTCATACCCCTCCGTTCAATTTCTATGTGGATGGTTCTATATGCTAAGTATTTAAATGGGTGGGATTTGGGGTATTTTGGGGCGTCTCCCGAGTCTGAGACTTTTGTATTTATTTTGACTTTTAGTTGTTTTTGGATTTTTTTACAATCAATCACTTCAATATTCAATGTATCTTTAAGCTCTACTCTACTGTATAGTTCAAAAACACACTCGTCAATAGACCGATCAATTAATCTGAGATTTGTCAAAATGGGTAAGAATTCATGGTAAATTACTCAATTATTGCTGATTGACATAAAAATGGCTGATATTTCCAATGTCATTGCTAAGCAAAACGAAAGTCATGACCGGTGGATTATTGGGGAGAAATCAACATCCGGTTTTCAATTCAAGTGAAATCGTGTGATAATTTCACAATCTGGATCATGTGAGCCCTTAATTTACAATATCTGATGTTTCGTAATGTTCTTTACTTGCCTTTTGGCTTCCTATTTGGAACCTGGAGGCAGAAAACCACCTACTACATCGTTGTAGGTAGCGAGCTCTTGACGAAAGCATGGCGGCCATTGAAGATGCCTTTGCCAATACGCATGCGCGGAGGTCATGTCGTGTATTTAATAAGGTCAGGGGTTATCATTCTTTTTATTAGAAATATTCTCTTCTATTATTTGTGCATCGTTTGAAGAAAAGGGATTTATTTGTGATTTCTCGACATAGGTATGCCACTATTAAATATATTTATTTCACTTTCCATTAATCAGAGCGACATATTTTCAGATTAATACATGTTAAATCATATAGCACACCTGTCGGTATCTTCAAAGCAACATCCCAGCGTCGTCTGCTACAGCTTCAAGAATGCAAGAAAAGAAACCGTGTCCTGACAAGAATTTGTCTTTCAAAATTGACAAAATTCTTTAAGTTGACACTTGGCAAACAGTGTCTCTCGGGATATTTGAAAAAAAAAATCGTTTTCTAATTTCATTAAAAAGCGACATTTCTTTTTTTTAATTAGTCGAGTTATAAAGAATTTTTTTACAGTTACGCTCATCGGATGGGCCTGTACAAATTGCCTCTTACGACAGTTATAATTATTGCTTTTGAAGTTGATTTTAAGATTCAATGCCTCATGAAAGGACAACTTTTTGAAATGTTCCTTATAATGTTCCAATGCCAGTTGACATAATATAACCCTGACCTAATGATCCTCAAAATTAAATAGCCTACAATAGAACTAAAGTGATTCGTTTCTAAAAATTTGCTAAACGAACCCTCCCTATCTCCATCCTCTTCAGCCCTTTCAATTTCTAAATAAAGTATTTGTCCCACCCTAAGCTGGATAAATCTTCCAACATCTCGACCTATGCCTTTGTGCATCTACCTTTTAATAAAATCAGAAATGTAGAACATTTCATAGAAAAAGAAAATCATTATCATTATTATCATGATGTAGGGAAGATTCGAAGTGCGACAGATCACAGTGGAAAAAAAACGTACTCATTAAATACAGTAATTTTTGTCAGCTTATTATTGTTCATTTAAAAACATCTAACACCTTGGAAAAATTAAGGGGATTATGAAGATCTATTTGTAACCCACTGTCGTTAAAGACATTAATTCCCCGATTTACCCAATATTAGTTCATCATATTTTAAAGGAAATCATTATTTTGACAAAGAAAAACGGGGAAACTTAAGCGATTAAGTCGAATGAGAATCAGAATTTTAATCTATCTATTGTTTTCCGTATCACGAGTGTCATATTGGGTATATATTATCATATCTATGTGTTATATATACATAATATTATCTTCAACTATCATTTTCCTTTCTTCCTTTATTCAGTTCACAATGCATAATATTTCATTGAACTAAAACAAGTTTCTTGGGTGCGCACTCCGCAAAATTCTGTTCTGCTATACGCATCAGTGGATATAATTCAATCTAGCTGCTATAGAGTTTATGCCATTACCGGCTTGTATAAGTGTACTATAAAATGGATCTTTCGATAAGTATTTCTATTCCTTTGTTTAAATTTTTTTTTCATGTTCCTTGAAAATATTACAGTTCATTTTTTTTTAAATGATTTAATTTGCATAAATTAATATTTAAGTGTGTTTACTTCAATTTCATATCTTAACCTTTGTCAAGCCCGCATCTTTTGGAATCAGTCTCTCCAAGGTGTGTCAGTTTGCATGTTGACGGACAATGCGTTTAGCTAATTAAATCTTCAGACAAAACCATTGGAAGGCATATTCCCAGGTAGAATATGAGGGCTGTTAAGACATGTTTGAAAAAATTACGTGGGGTTTATATGAAATTAAATAGCATTTTCTTAAATTGGATCTAGATTCAATATATGCCTCGATTTTAATGTTAATGTTGAAATATTAATCCGATATATGAATATCTAATATTCAAGATAAATCTTCAAGTTAAAGAAAAAAAATGTAAATACTATTTACAATAAGCTATCAGATGTCACTATTTTTCAATCTCAAGTAAAACCTGTTCCTTCTCTCTGACGTGATTTACATTTTACAGTTATAATATCGATTTTGAAATTTTTATTTGGGAGAAAATATAAATTTGACAGAAGTACATATCATACATGATATAAGACTTTAATATTTCAATGTTTTTATGAGAATTGTAAGACAATATGAAAGTTATATTCAGTTTTTTTTTATATACAATCTATTCTAATACCATGCCAATCAATGACTATAAAATTTATGTATGCTGAAATTTATTACAATTAACTACATTTTTTTTTAAAAAGCATCATGTTCCTTTTGCTCAGTCACGACATTGAACTTCGTTCTTAATTCTTGTATAATTTGTGCGAGATAATGTTATCAGTATTTATAAAATTGCTGTATTTTCAATAATATATATTCCAAATGTTTTCATAAAAAAATATATATTATGATATTCGGACATTCCCCATTCATATTTGGATATGGCTGTTTAGGATTATACAATTTTTTTTTTTTTAATATTTTATAACGTTATGGAATTTTCTACCAAATACAATAACGTGTAAGGCTTAGCCTATGCATACCTTCCAAACGAGTGACCTGCATTGCAAGCTTAGATAAGAATTTTTTTTAATCAAGGCACGATAAATCCAATAAGTAACAAGCAAAATGATGAGATTATGTGATATTCAGTTGGGAGTGTGAAAACCATTCTTCTAATGAAGGAAGAACAAAAAATTAACTATCATCTGCACACATTGTTTCTAAGGTGGGCGGAGCTAATTCCATAAATGACAAACAAGATAGGAATAATTTGTAGGCCACGAAACTTACTGAGTGTAGCAAACAATACATTACAAAATGTCACTTGTTCTTGCCGTTCGTCTGTTAAAATCGCTAGCAGACGATTTATCAGGGTTAGGCCTTGTTTACCACAAGATTTCACATGACAGATACTTGCTCAAGACACGAGCCAATGGCACTTGGAGAAAAGATTGCGACTGCCCCTTTCTCTTGAGACAGGTGCTTTCAATGGCCACTGCCCATTATTTTACGTGTACGGAGTTGTCACTTGATAAATTAAAGTTTCGGCTCGATTGATTTCTTGATGATCAAGCGATAGGTAACAGCTGCTTGAAGTAGAGTGTAAGAAACGGGGTTTATCATCAGTATTGTTCTGCCTTAGGATAAATCATTTGATGAACTACCGTTGAAAGAGGACGGACAAAACTTAGCGGTAAGCAGATCTTATTCTTTCTCATCAGTACTTGAGGGACTTGAACACTTTCTTAACACCTTAGACAACATTTAGATAAATCATTTGAAGATTTCTGATATTATCTATTATTTTTTAATAATTTTTATTATTGTACTTTTTCATATACCAATTTGTTCAATAACATTAATTTTCTTAACTTTATTTTCTTAAATAAGAGTCCAAATTATTCAAAAACTGAAAAAATATGTGACTTAAATAAATATGCTCAGTATAAAATCATCATATATTTGATATTAACATAGATTTAATATACTATAAAATTCATACAACCCGAATCCGTGAAATAACGGTAAAATATGAATTAATATTTCATCGATCGTTGTATAAGTGTTGTGCTTAAGTATACATTTTGTTTAAAACGCATGCTATTATCACCGTTAACCCACATTAAACTGTGCGTTATTGATATATACGTTATTATGAGTAATATTCACGTAAGATAAATGCCAAGTTTAAAATTTTCAAATATTAATACATCTGGAATAATAATTTTATTAAAAAAAAAACTACACTGACAATGATGTACTAGAAATTCTGACCTAAACTGTTGATAAAATTCAAAATATCTCTTTAAAGATCACATTTGGAGATATCAACAACTATATGCGACGGTTTGATATTTACCGCATTCAAGGCAACAGATAAAGTATGTTTCAGGGAGGTTTTTTTTTGTAAAATTAAATAACTACCGCGAAATTTTTCACAAATTAATCATAGTACACTTCAGTTGTTAAAAATACAACAAAGTAATTTAATTAGATTTAGGTCTAATCTATATTTAGCGAAAACTTCCTTCTGTTTGAAAGTAGTCGCTGTGTCTTGATGAGGAGGGGGTATGTGTATTTTTTCTGGGGTTTAATCAGATTAAATATACTGTATACCTATGTGTCATAATTTTAAGACCGTATATCATACTTTTAAGACAATCCAAGCATTTTGATAAAATATGGAATTTGAACTAGTTAATAAAAATCAATAGAAATTTAGGGATGAACTTTCTAGTTTCAGCCCACGCAAATATGACGATTTATATTAAGTAATAATAGATGTTGATAACTATAAGCAATTTTATCCAAAGACTTTCGTAAAATGCCCGAAATTTCTTCAAATTATTTGAATCAAGAGGTGCTCTAATGGTATGGTATCATAAAATTTTTTTAGTGATGTCCAAGTGTTCAATTTCCGATATTTCCGGACTGTTTTAGGTTCAGTATTGTTAGTGAATCTTCTGACATATCTGTGTCTGCGATAGATATACATAAAGATTTTAATATCCAATATTATTCCTGTCATTACAGGTGTGAATGTATGAAAAATATGAAGCCTGAAGACGATACTCTTTCTGGTGACACGACTCAGTTACTACGGGATATACTACAGAGTAAAGAACGAAAAGAACTAGAAAACAACAACACAATCAAAAGTTACTGCGCGGTAGACGATCGAGAAAATTCAGAAATGATATCTACAATGCTTCGTGCAAAATCCAACACCAGCGCTGCCAATTCTGATAATGATAACTGGTCGGTTGGTGCTGACAACTATTCTGGAGACGATAGCGACATAGATGTGGACACAGAAGACGTTTCCGATATATCGGCTGCTCAAGAAGTTAAAGAGTCCAAAGAGGATATCACGGATGAGTTACCAAATGGAGTGGGTGTTGAACCAGAAATTCAAGATACAAAAGAAGCCAAGAGAGCTCGCGTTGAGAACATCATTACCAGTATGCGACATTCTCCACCCAGTACAGCAGACTTAGAGGTGAATCAAACTTCACCCGAAGTCAAAAGACAAAAGAGGAAGCAGTATCAACCACAACAGCATGAGGTGAAAAGCTATGGCGCCTCAGATCCTAAGTTCCGTAAAGTGGAGAGAGCTGCTCTTCATGATCATATTCAACACCTCCAAAATCAACTGCGTGAAGTGAAACAAAAGTGTGATGATTTGTGTGAGGATGAACATCATTTGCAATATAACAATTCTAGTGCTCTTGACAATGGAAACATTTCTTTTAATGACAATCAAAATAATTTATACAAAAATGAAAAAGAAAATGGAATGGACATACTCAGAAATACAATTCGTAATGAGTGGGACCCTAGTCACTTTTTCAGACAAGCAAGTAAACTAGTCCAAGAACAGGAAGTTCTTAGTAAGAGCTCAGGAAAACTCTCAGGAAACATTCCACCTCCCGATCTTCATGCTTTAGCAAACTCTATCAAAACAGAAATAGTTGATGCCATTAGCAAAGTGGTAGACAATGCTGTGAGCAAACTCATTGAAAAGAAATCTGCACCAATTCTCAAAAATACTGAAACTCTTTCCAGTTCAAAAAGTGAAATTGTTAAAGTTCCCACTCTTGTCCCTAAACCAGAAAAGGAACGTGAACGCAAACCAGACGTGACTCCAACATCATCCCTGAGTGATCTACAGTCAGAACTAAATAAACATAGTATAGCTAGTCGCTTATCAGACAAAATAAGTGCTTTTGAACCTTTATCCAGAATGGAAAATGATTTTCCCAGAATCAGTACTAGCCATCATCAAAACATGCCATTCCATCCTCCATTTCCTTATTTTGGCTTGCCATCTCAAATGATGCCACCAATGTATGCTGCAGAACCTGAACAAACAGAAGCACTACCTCTAATTGTTAACACACCTAAAAAGAAGAGGACAAAAGTTACTGATACCAGATTATCACCTCGAGCAAAATCAGCCCTGCTCCAAGACAGTTTCTTACCATCTCATCTGACTTTAGATCAAGATCGAACAACAATGATGACATCTTTCCCTCATCTGTTTCCACCTATGTTGCCTACAAGTGTTGCCATTCCTAATCCTGGTCTGAACCATTCTGATATTATGTCCTTCAACATGAGAGATCCAAGCTTTTGGGAATCCAGGATGATGAACCAAAGTCCACCACATTCTGAAAGAAACTCACCAAAGTCACCAGCAGAGAGTTTTGGTAGTTTCAGAAAGAGTGACATGTATGACAATTCTCCAGATATTGGTGATGGAAGCAATGGTTGTCAATCTATATCCTTTATAAAAACTTATTTTCAGCTACATCCATACAAATCACGTTAAGTCTACACATACAAATATCTTATAGCACATGGAGAAGAACAAATTTGTCAATCCAATTGTCAAAATTATATTAAGAAACAGCAAAAAATTACAGAACAAGCATTATCATTAAATAAGATACACTATTATGGATATACTACTCCTTCCTTTAATTTTTGCAACGTTTCAATTCATCATGACAATCATAGTTATATAATCACAACATATGCATGTACCAAACAATTATGATTATAAATTGAACTATGAGCCGAAACAGTACAAATAGTTTGCCAAAATTACTCTTTCACACACTGATGTATTTACCTTTGAAAATTCACATAAACTGTTTTCACCATCAATGCAATTGCATGTATCAAATTATTTATTACATACACTTCCTAATTAAGATATTCTTTAATGTGGACAATCCTTAAAAAATTGTTCAATTTTGAAATATATAAGCATTTTATCAAAAAAATCCAATTATCTTAACATGGATTTTTTTTTTTTTTTTTTTATCAAAAAACTGTTTCAGAATTCAATTGTCTCAGGAATTTAATTTCATATATCTTTTTTTCATTCCTCATTACTTTTAATTATCAAGAAAATAAGATTCAAATGTCAATTAAAATTTCTGAAAACTCTTTTTCTGAGGCTAGTTGCCTTGAAAAATATGATCTACGTTTTTAATTCTTCAGAATCTCTGTAATTAAGCTTGTTCATGTAAGGTATTTTGTGTTAAGTTACAGAAATTACTGTCAAATAACAGGATTTGTCTTAAAGATGAAAACAATTATTTTATTTAATTAGGTCTCAGTTTACTGCCAGTGGTAGTTTAAATTTTTCTTAAATATAAAACTCAGAAAAATATAAGATTTTGCCAGAGATGTCTTAAGTTATTTTTGATTAATATTTTTTATTCTAAATAAATTAATGAACTTATCTATTTAATGCTTGGGTGGAATTTTCAAATTTTTTCTTAAATTGAATCTTTGTTGAATAAGAGATTTCAATGAAATACAATGACTAATATAGTTTATGATGTTTTTTCTGTTACTTGAATTGATAGTGGGTAGTTCGATTTTTCTCTGTGAATTTGACATTAGAGCTATCATGCTATATCAGTATTAATGTTGGACCTCCCCTATAATTAAGAATGTTAAGATACAATGACAATAGTTATTGTTCAAATCATCACTTATAGATTATGAGGGCACTTTACTCTTAAAGGGAAATTAACAAGTGCTTAGTTAAGAATTAAGAGACATTTCAACCTTTCTGATGCAAATTAAATCAAACTTTAATAAGGAATAAAATTCTTGATACATTTTTAATTTGGGAAGTATTAGTTTGTATTTAGTTAAATGGTTTTAAAGATTTATTTTTAATAGAACCCTCATCTTTGGTTAATTTCATGTTCTTGCATGAAGAAAACAAAATTGGTTCAACTTGAAACAAGGTATTTAAGGCAGTTTTCTCATGACCACTGTCATGACATTATTTATTAAGATAAGTTTGGTTAGTACAAAAGTTTGCAGGTAATCAATGAAATGAAATGAAGTTTTACACCCTACTCTTTCATTAGGCTAATGAAGATGGAAGTTGATTCCACAGGCATGACAAAATTGTACCCTCGTTCTGAATTTCTTAAACCCTCCCTTCTTAAAAATTCCCACTTTTTTATGGAATATAAGGTTTCGGCAAGTATCGATACACAATGTCTCAATACGATATGCGTATCATGGCATGTTGTATTGTGATACATCCATTCAGCAATATTTCGTGCCAGCACTGTTGTCTTGAAGAAGCTTGATTGTCATTAACAGAATTTCTGCCATTATTTTCTCTTCATTATTCTACTATAAAAGGTCAATCATTGCCTCTTTACAATACAAGAACAAGATTCCATTATAGGTCTTCAATAAATGTTCCCTATGAACTGTGTATATAGACATTATCTAAAAGGAATAAAAAAAAATCAAAGATATCAAAAGAAAGATGGAAAGTAAATTAGAATTGAACATTAACAATTGGTCGTTGAAGATCTTTTTCTTTGTCAAGGCACCATTAAGCAAATAGACGTACAATTGATTTTCTTTTCTCAACTTGTTGCTGCTTTTCATTGACTAATGGTTCTGAGATTGTCTGTAAATAGTGTTCTGTGTTAACTAATGTCATTAGATACCCACTTATAATTCAATCTTTACAACTTCTTTAAATAAAACATATTTTTATTGAAAAAACCAGGCCATTATTACAGGCATTTTTCATTCCTTAAATTTGATTAAAGATCTTTATCTATTGGCAATGCGGAATGTTATATTTAGTCTAAATATTAGTATTACCTTTGATTTTCTCATAGTTTTTGGTCAATGTTGTATTAGGAATGTCTAAATATAAGATAATGATTCCTCTAATTATAAATTTTGATGAATTATTAGGGATATGTTTAACTTAGTGGAAATTTGAGTCTTTAAGTTTCATGTACATTAATTCAAAATTTAATTTCCAAATTAGACGCGAGTTTTTCACGGAGTATATACCAGCTCATTGAATGGTGCTGCCATATGTTTTTGATACAAAAAACTTCATTCAAACGATTAATCTTAGAAATTGGATGAAAAGTCACTAAACATCAAATTATGGATTCTTTAAAATATGAAATCAGTGAAAATTTTCTGTAATCAAAAGTAATGCAGGTTCAATTGCTCTTTGGACATACTATAAATAAATCTTACTGTAAGAATTGTAAATGACAAGTGACATTTGACCCTGAAGTTTCTCCTAGTTGAAGATAAAGGTATTTGATGAGTACAAAGATCCGATAGGGAAGGTTTTCTTGGCAAGAATTGTAATGTTTAAAGTCCTAAGATAAGTAAGAGTATGTAATATATAGGTAGTGTTATAATATGAAAATGATAACAACGGCAAAAGATGGAGATAACAAGATTTTCTTATAAATAGTTGATAATGTTACCTTGATTATCAAGATATTGATAGTTATAATTACATGTTTATAATCACTGACGAAATTAACTTAACTTAAAGAGACTGCCTCGAAAATGTTTAAATTCACAAAATACTTCCGAGACTTAATTTACATTTTAATGAAAATATATGTAGGAGTATAACTATATGATGCCAATAAAAATTCATAATTAATTTCAAGGATGACCAATCTTCACAAATCATTTCACTGTTTTATTATGCATGCATTTTGTTAGGTTTAGTTATGGTAATTTACCAATGTTTGTAACATTTTCTCGATCTGGATACCATTTCTCAAAATATGTTAGCGACCTTTTTATGTTTCAGGAACCTTTTTATATCTTGAGTGTGGTAGTCAGCAAAGTAGAAAACTGGTTTTAAAGATTTTTATTTTCAAATGGGGGCTGATGACAATTTAATTCTTAAAAATGTGATGAAAATCACAAAAATGAAATCTATATTTTCATTCTATTCTTGCTATTACGCAAGATTTTCATTATCAATACGTTGTAAATTATGATCGAAAATATTTCTTAAATATACAATGTACATCTATGTATCTACTTGATCAAACTGAATTAGTTAATTAAAATTGGAGTGTACTAGTTGTTAATTAAGCAGCTTAAACTAGTTTTGGTGTTGGGCCTCCAAAAGACTCAATAACCATTAGAATATGTTGGAGACATATATCTTTACAATTAGGCATTTAAAAAGCATAACAATTTTTGAAAGCTTCAAATATCTTTTAAATAGTTTTGGTGTTAAAAAAAATAATGACAGGATTGTTTAAGATAATATTTACAGGTAAGTCCAGCGACACATTTCTCTAGATATTGGTGTATAGTTATCATCATAATTTTGAGCCTACAAAAGAAACAGAATGCTCCTTTAAGAGAGCTGTCCAGGGAATTGTATCATGCACTCTAACAAAATCAAACTTAAACAAAATAATATACAATTTTGAAGTAGTACTAAAATTTCTTATTACAAATATTGACACTTCACTTCTTATAGTAATAAGTTTTGTATTAAAATTTGTAAAGATTATTATAAGATCTATATTAGATATTTACAATGTAAATATAAGATTGAAATTAATGATTAATAAGAAAGTAAGAAATAGTTATTATAAAAATCATGTTTCAATCATGTCACAATATTGATCATATCAATAAACTTGACAATGATTTTAAGAATGATTTCTGAAGAAAATATTTTTGCTAAAGTAATCATTTTCAGCAATTCATTTTGCTAATTTCTTGTGCAATGAATATTTAAAGTGGAATTGCCTTCAATTATGTGACACAATTTTTTAAATAAAAAGTTATTTCAATATTTTCATCAAATATGTGCAGTATTGAAAAATAATTTTAAATTTTGATGTATGACACACAATTATTCCTAGAAATTAAATATGAAACACAGAATTTGGTAAATTAAAATTTGAACACAGTCATTCAGAATGAAGTATAACGAAAATAAAATTAAAGGGGATATCCATCTTTAAGAAAAAAAAGTCAATAGTGAGAACCTAAGAGATGTTGACATTTTAATCAAGATATGATCAAGATTAAATTAGAACTAGTGTTAAGAATAAACAGTATATTGACTTAGTTTCTTTCTTTTAGCACATTTCATTGATCTAATATAACAGGCCTTTAAAGGGACAGTTGCACCATTCCTTTTGACCAATCATACTTTAGTGGCTGAAATCTCACTAATTAATATTCTCTTTTAAAGAACACAAGTTTGTCACAGACTGGTGAAGAAAGGAAATATTCATAATAGTTACTACACTGAATGGTGAATTGTTTGTGGTAGCACTGCTTACACTATTTCAATCATACACAATTTTCAGGGCAAAGAGCTGAGTCGAGATTCTACTGCAGAGGTTATTTTAGAGTTCATAACATACAGATGTTTCTGTTGAGATAAATTTTTTCAATGAATTTTTATATCATAAAAAACACATTTATATAGTTCATAAATTATATCGACTTGAGTGTTATATTTCATCTAAATTATATTCTTGTAGGTAACATGTTGGCTTTTAAGACATATATAGTTCTTTTTGTTTCAATTTGAATAGACACACTGTTATAAATGAATATAACTCCTTCAATTAACTATAATGGAGTAGAAACATGGTCTCGCCAACATATTGTAAGATAATTGGATGGAGACATTGTTCCCTCTTGTTTTCTATTTGTTCAATCATGTAATGACCATTTAAATTAAAGACTGTTTTGTATTGTTGAATGCCCGAATGGTAATGTAACACAGTGGTAACAGGTGCCTTGAAAGATGAAGTTTAACTATTGTTTTTATTATCTTAAAGGTAATAGCTAGGCCAGCAAGAGACAATGAATAATATAATTGTATTGAAAAAGAACCTATGTAACAGATGATGTTCTTATTTGTTTTTGTGAATTCATCTGATAATGCATTATTTTGAGACAAATTTGATAAAGGTTTTTCAATTAGAATATTAATTTCACCTCAGTTTCTATTTCAATGAAATTAAAGGTCTGTTTTCATGAGCTTGTTGTTCACACGGAATTTTAAATTTTGTCTTTTTACATATGGATATGTTTCCAGCAAGCAATAAAAGTCGATAATTCTTCGGTATGATAATGAAATCATTAATATTCATGGTTACATAACTTGAATAATATATTCAACATAGATCTATATGCAACTTGAAAACTTTTGAAACCCAGGTGAAAAATTTCATATTCTGCAATGATTTGAGTTAAGATATTTTCATCAGATCAAACCCAATGTAAGGTAATTGCAGCAAGACAAAATTTTATCTTATTTGACATATTCCATATTTTATATGCAACACATTAAGGGGTAAAGTAGGTCTTTAATCAGTAAAAGTAAAGCAATAATTTGAACTGTAGAAAATAATAAAATAATTTGGATTTGGATTTTGGATAAGAATTTCTGAAAAGCAAGATTAACAAAATTTTCAAAAATTGTAAACCCATGTTGAAAGCATATATGAATATAAGACCAAAATCTTTTGCTTTATTGGCATAATTTCAAAATATAAAAATACATTGAAATTTTTAGATACAACATATTCGAAGCAAGAGGCAGGGAGTTTGGCAAAAAGTAGCTACCCAAAGTGGCACGCCATATAAGAATAAAGAATTACATTTAGAATTAATATCTAGGACATCAGCCATTAAAAGAGACAAGACATGCCGCCATGATCCGGTTTTATCAATCATTTATTTTAAATATTCTAAAGTGGTAACATTTGGTAGCATCATTATAAGTAATTACAGTATTTAATGTTTTCACAAGAATATTGACTTAATCACAAAGTATCACAAACCCTTTTTTCTACTTCCATCAATAGGGAAATTGTGTGAGTGAAATGATGAATAACACACCTAAAACTCATTTGAATAATAATAAAAACTGATTTCAGATTTGCGCTATTAATGATCTTTAAATTCGTCATGAATTTTAATGCGTGAATATTTTTAATATCATTAGAGATAGTGAGAAAATAATCTCTTAAATGGTATAATGTATCTGTATGATTTATATTGTAGATATACTATAATATCCTTATTTTCAAATACTTATATTAGTAAAGATATGAGAGAAAGTCAATGTAAAATGGACTGGAAGGCAACAGATAAAATATATGTTACTGGTGATTGTTAAACTTTATCAAGGGGTGATGTTACTTTTGCCTGTTATTAGGGGTCTGAACATTCCATCGTCCGTCAGTGGCCTTAATGTGAAATAACTGTGGAAAGTTGTTGACCAGCCAACCGGTCATCTTTTCTTAAAGTTCCTATAGCTAATAATGCTAACTTGGTATTTTTATTCCAGTTGGGAATCAAAAAAAAAAACTTGCAAGAAAATATAAAAAAATACAGTCCAAATTTCCTTCATTGCTATCAATGTGAATTTTCACACTGTCTATTTTTTGCTTGAACAAAGGGAAGCAAGTTAGACACTCTAGGAAGTATAATTACTTTTAAGTAATGAGAGGAAAAGGAACTGGTAGATTTGTTCCTTGTCTGATCATTTGAATAATATTTCTGTTGAAGTTCTATTGTTTAAAGTAATGAGTGCTACTTGAGAGAGTATCACTCAATTTCTACTATATCATATGAAAATTTCAACTAGATTCATATATCAGGAAGATGAAAGCTTTTTTGCCACTCGTACGAGTGTTATTCCCAAGTCAAAGTAGTCTTATATCTTTCCTGTATCAAATAAACACTTTATATTTCTCTGTGCATTGTATTTGAGTGTATTGAGTGCTCACTCAAACAAGTGTTTATCTTCCCTGTATCAAATAGTATTAAAATGACCTGTTTGTAATAGATCCAGTGATCATCCTCTTAAGTGTTAATTTTTATTCATTGTTGTTTCTCAGAGAGGAAAAGACAGATTCTGGATCAAGTTTCAAAAATCAGAACAAAATAAACATTTTTTAGAACAAAAAAAACATTTTTCAGCACAAAAAAAAAAAACATTTTTCAGCACAAAATAAACATTTTTCAGCACAAAATAAACATTTCTCAGAACCAAATAAACATTCTGCAGCACAAAATAAATATTTTTTCATAACAAAATAAACAACTTCCAGAACAAAATAACCTCTTTTTCATAACATAATAACCTCTTTTTCATACAAAATAACCTCTTTTTCATAACAAAATAACATTTTTCAGAAAAAAATAAACACTTCTCTATCCACAAAAAATATTTTTTTTACTAATCGTATGATATCAAGACTAATTAATTTTGCAAAAATATTGTAATTTCCTGTTTTATTTTTAGTTTTTAACATTATATATGTATTTATCTTAACTCCTAAATACACAGCTATGTTGTCACCAATGCATCTGAGAAAAGCCAAGTTGATGTTTTTCTATGTGAGGTATCCAAGTTCATCAATTCTTAAAGTCTACTTCCCTGACATTAAATTCAACAAAAATAATACAGCACAACTTGTCAAGTGGTTCAGCAATTTTAGGTAAGTTCACTTTTAATCTATAACACAGGGGTTGATTTCCAAAAATATCTAAGGATAAGAATCCAGTCTCATCTTTGCGAAATATCTGGAAACATATCATCCTGGATTATAGGTACCAATTTTCTGAGAATCCAAGACTTGTTCAGAGTCACTAAATTTTTATGTGATGACTTATAATTATTCTCGTAAAATATTTTTGAAAAGTGATATATTATCAGATGATAGAGGAATTAGTATTATTTTTTTGGAAATTCCTTACAGATTTTTTAAGAATTTTTTCTATCATATTAGGAAAAAAAGACTAATTCCCTTTCAGGAGTATTCCAAATTTTGTATTTTTAACAAATATAACGTGTAATATGAAGGAAAGAAATGAGTTTGGCATTTGAATTAATAATAATATAATTTCACATGTGTGTCTTATAAGTTCAAGTCAAAGATCTAATTTTTGAATTACAATAATTTCTGCAGCTGCAATAAGATTAAGAAATGAGTTCGAAACATAGTTTCTAATCTAGTTATGTACTTTGTAACTGTTAGGCTTTTGAAATTAGCATTCAAAGTGAAAAAAGATGTGGGTTCCTTGGAAGCTTGGATTTCAGTTCTTTGAAGTGATGAATAAAAGTGCTATACCCAAAATGCATGTAACTTGCGTGGCATTCTTTGATGAATTTGCTACTATGCAGCATACTTCCAGGAATGCAATGAATTAGAAAAAAATTCATTATATGGGAACAGCCATAACTGCCAAAACAAAAATGCCTGGAACATAGCATTTCCAGCTAGAATTTTTCAGCATTAGAATAAGTAATACATATAACAATGATGTCACTACCACAGATAGTGAAAACTACAATGTTTATTTTACTTTGTCATAGTTTAAAACATCAGCCAAAATAGTACTCTATTAGTATTATTGTAGGTACTAGTTTACCACTTAATTTATGCATACCACACATTTACTATTCTTGACGTCATGGAGTACAAGAAAATACTATTTAAAAACACCCTTTGTTAAGGAAGTCTCTGTTAGGTAATTGGGTGCACTTGCTTAAAAGTCTGAGTCAGACGGTAGTACTGACAAGTCTGGCAGATGGCAACCATTTTTTATCATGGCATCCTAACACTTTAACATATTAACATCTACACATGTCATTGGCAATTTGCTGGTGTTTTACCATAATAACAGTTCCTTAAATTTTAGACCACTCAAACCAATGATTGTCCACTAATTTTTTGAATTCCACTGTCATGGTTCTACAAATTTTAGAAAAAAAAACACCATGTTCATATTTTGACATATCCACATTTGAAATCCTATGTAAGAATACACCCAGATGATATAAACTGCATAAAATTCTTAAGGTTCATATATTGTGACCTTCTGGTATATTTATTCAAAAAGTACTTACAGATTACTACATAAGACAAGTGAATATAAGTAGATGAAGGATTAAGTATATACATGTAATTTATATGATGCCAAGACATTGGGTAACACGAAACAAACACAACCTATTTCACTCTATATTGTGAAAGCTAATCAACATATTGTCCGATTATCTTTATGTACTGAAAGGCCATGTTGGGTTGACGACAAGTGTACATTAGGGCTTGACACTATTAGATATTTACCATCTTTTCACTCTTACTTATTAGCTTTCTTGGGAAGTTAATTTTTATCCCGAACATGAAATAAATGTCATTGAAATGAAGACCTCGACAGATCTTGTGTGGGATATCAAGCTAATTTCAAGCCAATGTACACAGTACGAAGGGATTATGCTTCGTTGACATTACAAGTATTTGTTAATACTTGATTAAATGTGTTTACACCCTTGTATTTAGAGAACTGCCCTCTTTGGCTACACCATCTAAACCACTGTCTGTCAAATGTTCCTTGCAGAAATTTTTCTAAATTTTTTTTTAAAATACCTTTTATTTGCGGGAGGAAGATTTTAATTTAAAGTTATGCACGTTGCAAATTCTTTTGATTACTGACAAGGGCTTTTTTTAAATTCTTATTAAAACTTATTCAAATGATACATGCATCCAAATCTTATGCAGGGCTTTTGATTTTACTGTATTTACCAGTCCTCGCTTGACTTCGTTCCAAATGGTTTAAATTTTACAATAACAAAATATATTCCATTTTGAAATATTGCTTAATACATCAATTGTACAGTGATTGAGAAATTTGAAAACAGAACCTGAAACATGTTATTACACGGTTTTAAATTTTATATAGATATTACACCAATTTTTGTTTATTACTTGATGGCAGAAAAAATATACACCCATGACCTTTAAGACATTTTGAAACGTCAATCAGACATGTCTGGTTAAAAAAAGCAACAGAAATTGAGACATTGAGGTATTTGAATAAAAAAAGAGCATTTTAATTAAAATACAAAAACTAATAGAGGTAGAAATGTGTCATATCTTTTTGTAATATTAATATTCAACAGTTATAATAAGTAAAAGTTATCAGCTCAGCAATCAGCTTTTATCAGAAAAACAATAAGAACTGAATAACGAGCAAGATGTGTAGGTTTCATTATATATGAATTAAGGCCAAACTAAAATATATTAGTGTCTGAAGAAATAAAATGAAATGTTCTTTACGTGGCACTACCAATGAGGGAAACTTGTTCACAACAATGCAGTACTATGCTGTATGCAGTGAGGGAAATTTTGCCAGGACAGCTTATCTTTTTGACTTCAACTGTTTGGACATCTTAAACATGCTTAAAACGCAGCAGGATTTTCAGTTTTTTTTTATTCTACTCTAATAATAAGATACTTTTAGATGTACATAGGAAATCTTTTTAAAATGTGGAATCCATTTATGTCAATTTTGGTGGCAAAGAAAATGGCGTAAAACCTCCCAAGTCAACAAGTATTACACTTAAAAAATCAGAATCGAACCCTTCAACTCTGTTAAATGAATAGCAATTGGAAGAAAGTAATAATCGATTAATCGGAGAAGCATAATCGTTATGTAATTGATTAATATCGAAACAAGCCACATTTAATAACGCTTGGGAAAACATTACCCATGATCAACTTATGAATTAATTTCATAGTTGTTTGTTAATTATAATAGGTTTGATGATTACACTGTAAATCAACTCTCAACAAAAAATGTAAACTTTTTTTTAACCAATACAAACCTAACAAAAAACAACACTGACTAGACTTCAATGACTTTTGATTGAGAATCAATTACATTTAACGACAGCTAACTGATCGGTGCCAACAATCAGAATATTACTTATTCGGCGCTCACAAAAAAAAAATTGCTTGGAACTCAAACACAGAAAAAAATATCTCGGCCTTATATTCATAGATTCGCACTATTATCTTATTATTCCTTTTGACTGATTTCCTACAGTTTTCATATCACTAAGTGAGATCGAAACACATTGTGGCGTTCTTCCACTTAACTGCAAGCTGTTATGCCAAGTATAGAATTTCAGATCTAGTGTTGACAGATAATTTATGTCTAGAATATTCTGATAAAAACTATTTAATTGACATACATATAAAATTATTGTCTATGAGAGAAGAAAGGACAATTTTTTTTTAATCGGCCTAAAATTAGACCTTCTATTTTACAAACTCTTGAATGACGTGACACTCGCATTGATTTCAAATGAGTTTTACGTCCTACTTTTTTGGATCATGTGGGCTGATGTAAACGGGCAAGGCCATGCAGATAAGGGACATTTTGAGAGGACAGGGGCATTGGCCTGCTATATTTCGATTTCCAACTCCCGAAGGATCTTTAAAGAGCACAGCCTAGGTTTATCCGATGTCGGAGCATTGATTTCAAACTAAGAGCTCATGCACCACTAAAAACTATGGAATTTGTGCAGAATTGTGTCGGACTAGGCCTGCGAATTTTTCTTGAAGATCTGTTAATATGCATCTAGGTTTGTTAATTCATTCCTTCGCAGAGTCTACATAGCTAATAATTTTTAAGTTTTGTTTAAAATGATGGATTGACAAGCTCAATCACATACTGATATCATGAGGTTCCAGAAAAAATAGACAAAAGCATGGGTAAAGTTGAGCCTATGGAGATTGATTCATAAGTAGAGCAATCTAAAAATTTCTCAAAACAATAAATATCTAACAATTTGTTATGAGTTAGTTTACTTGAATTTAATTCAATATGCCAATCTTGACTCTAAAAATTTCTCATAATATATAGAAATATTTTGGTAATATTTATCAAACAATATCACTTGGCCAACAATTATTACGTTGTTTTTAACCTGTAGGCCTTGACGTGGGTAAAATACCATTTGAGATATAAAAGGCGGGAAAAAATGGTTATTATGGTCTTGGGAGAAGATCTTACTTCTAACCTCCGATTTGCAAAGTATTCCGATTTGGCCAACATCTCCTATTCTAGAAAAAACTTGACCAGTTTGTGATGTCACTATTGTATTTACCATTTGACTTGTATGGTGACATATGATTTTTAATGCAAAGGCGAAAACCTAATCCTTACAAATTACAAATTTGTCCCGTGTGAGATAGATGTTAATTTTTTCTTATATCAAACTATCAACAGAGGAATACAAAATAATTCTTTTCCCATATTTGTCAAAAATGGCATTCAGAAACTGGTCTATGATGTCTAGGTACTTAGCTTGACATTTAGAGAACTTATCTCTTGATATATGGTGAGAAACAAACAATAAATTAGGACGCCACCAACTTTCTACATAATTGACAATAATTTGTTGGAAGCAATAATCATAATTCTTTCTAAGAGGAGAATAATTTGCCGATTAACATAAACTTAACATTCGGAAGCAGTTAATGTTGGAGATAGGGGAGCTTATTACCTCTACTGTTTCATTATATAGATTGAAGGCAAATGGCAGAAAGGAACTTTAAATGTCAAAGATGAAATTCCCAGGCCTCAAACTGACTCAATTGACTATTCTTAATATCCCTTCCTTGTATGAACTGCAGTGTTAAGTAGTATATAATTGTTATAAAGAGGACTTGGGAAACAGTAGATATTTTATTGTTTTTAAAGCTCCATTCACATAGATTTACAAAAACATTTACTATTTTTATTCCATGAATGAAATTTTAAAAGTTAGAATAACATCGATTCAATTTTTCTACCCATTAACTGAAGCGTAAATTGTAGTGAGAATTTGCTCCTGAGCAATGAGATTGCTGTCTTCATGTTGACATTTTAACTCCAATTAGAAATTTTTAATGTGGTGCAGTGTGCAATGAGGAACATTTTGATACGTTAGCTACACAAGTTTTGTAGTAATGGCAACATTTCTTAAATGCTTTTTCTGATCATTTGGCATCACTGACAGTAAGAAATCAGGTAGAAAACTCAATATTTTGACATTTGCTGAGATCAAACTCACCAAGGTTCCCCACAAATTAAAATTAAGTTAAAGTCATATGCCTGTATAATTACTCAATACAATTTTTAATGCTCACAATGGTGGTCTATAATCATAACTTGGCCTAAACAGCTATCATGTATAATCAAGTATTTCTAGAGGAAATTACTTGCCTTTTATAATTGAGGTTAATTCTTGCCCCAAATCATTTGATTCTCACACAGACTAAATTATTATTTCTACTTCCTGTACTTATTTCTATTGTTTTGAAGTGCTTCCCTCAGTTGAGTTAACCCTTGAGTGAGTAAGGGCATTAATGGGACTCTCTGTATTTTAATTTATCACCATTGAACAATTTTAGTCAAAGTAACAGCACATATCTCTCTGTGTCTGCAGTTGTTAACTTAACCTTCTTTTTTAGAGAGTCAACTGAACTAAAATGCTTTATTAGTATTGTGGACTCAGTAAGGAACATATGGAGGAAAACTTGTAGGCTTTATATCAGATTTAGTTAGTACTTATCATCTAAATGTCATTATAAAATATCCCATGTTCTACAGACAGTCTAGGGTACTGTCCTAGGGAATATCCAGCAGACAGCCAGCGTAAATTAGTTATCTTAGGGGGAAACTAAGCTAATTGAGGGAGATTTGATATTAATATCTGACAAATAAAGCAATAACTGATATTAACTACTTGACTTTTACTCTCTTTGTCTTCTCTCACTAGTCTTATTGACCTTTCTACAGTCTCCCAATTTCACCATTCATATTCAAGGATTGACAAATGCCAGTATAAATTGTGAGATGTTGTGTGTTAAGTTGTAACCAAGTCTCTGAGGCATGTCTGCTATATAATGCATCCATACATCACTTTATATTTGATAATGTGTCTTGACAATATTGAATGATGTCTCTTGATAACACTGGAGTGGATTATTTCTGACTAATATACTCAGATTCATTCTTATTATTTATACCTCTAAGTAATATAACTTATTAATCATAGTAAGAATAATAGGTCAGTACTCAAAGGGATGGTAAAGAGGTTATTCTAAATTTTGTATGTGTATAGTGGACACTGAATGCAGTAGAAAATTAGAATGGTGCAAATTGATGCAATCAGTGTCCCCAATACACATTGCTGTCATCTTTTTAGCAAATGTACAAAAGGTATACCAATAAGTTTAAATGATGCCAACAGTTTAGCATTTAAATAATGTTGCGTATTTCTATTATTCCAGGGAATTTTTCTATATTCAAATGGAGAAATATGCCAGACAAGCTTTAGCCGAGGGTTGTAAACATCCTGAAGAATTACATGTATCTACTGACTCAGAATTATTCCGAGTTTTAACACTTCATTATAATAGAAATAATCAATTAGAGGTATGTTAACATTTTTATTTTTTAAGCAGGGCTTTGGTCAATCTAAATTAATATTTTTTTTCAGTCTCCATTGTAGTCTAATCGGATTTATGCCAAGGTCGTCTGCAAGCTATTTTTAGTAGCCAATCAGGTGTTAATCTCCTGCCAATCAGAATCACTTTTACATGCTAGTATCAGCAGTGTCATAAATTTCGAAAGTCATTGTGCTCTACTTTCGCTATCCCACAATTGATAGACTAGTCACGGATTGTGCGTGATTCGTTCTGATTGGTTAAAATGAACATCAACAGAACACGACTTTGATACCAATCGCTTTAGATTACAATGGAGGCTGAAAAAATTTACTTTTAATTAAATTGTATATCGGTGGAATTTGTCTGAGTGTGTATATACTGCTCACAATAATTATTAAAAAAACTGTTGCAGCCTAAATTGAAAAAATGTGCATTATGTGATAAATTTCAGAATATTTAGAAATTTCACATACAAAATGAAAAGATTATATTTAGATACATATTTTGCATATAAAAATGGATAAATACTTTTTTGAACAGTTTAAAAAAAACAAAACTAAATATTATACCATGCGGATATACTTAAAACATATTTCAGAATAATATATGAATATTAGGTATATAATAAACTAGACCTTAAAAACTGAAACTTTTCAATGACTCGGCTTCAATATGTTGGTTATTTTATGCATGACTAGATTCATTGCCAATTTACATAGATATACTATCAGGACTATTTTCTACTTCTATAAAATCATTGGACTCTACTAAAATTGTCTTGTCAATTTGAATATTCATATGAATTTCAGCTATATAAAAAGTCATTATTATCTAGTAATCACTAGGATTTTATAACTAGATAAATTTATACACTAGACAATAGGCACTTACTTTTTTTTATAAGGAGTAGACTAAATTAAAAAATTAATTTAAAAATGTAAAAATTAAATTTTCTAAAGACATTGTTTAGTATTTAAAGGGGATACATTTGCCATCCGTTTGACCAATCCTATTTTAGTCTCAGAAATGGGAAATTTTTTAGCTAAGCTAATCAGTAATAATGATCACAGCTCACCATCAAAATTTGCCATGGATGTAAAGAATTATCCCTGTTTGAAAGTTAAAATGATTAGTTGTCTGTTGGACTTTCAGATTTCACATTTGAAGGAATATGTAGTAGTTCTGAAGACTATTTATATATTCAAAACCCAAATCAACCCACCAAAAAAAAATTTTGGTCCAAGTTTTAGAAATTATAGTAACATTTGAAAAACAACATCAAAGCAAAAAAAAAAATTTAAATGTTCACTTTAGTTAAAATATCCTTTTTAAATTAACATCTGAAGAAATCCAAATTATAAGAAATACTTTATTAAAAGTTATTTCAGTTGTTAAGCCAAGTGTCAAAGTGTTCATTAAAGAGTTCACAATGAACACTTATATGCACTTAAAAACATGGGCTAAAGAAATAATAATATTCAGGTACTTATAGGGAGATGTCATCCTTATAAAATCTTATTCTGGTCTTTGTGATTTGAATAGTCTTTTAACTGGCTTCTAATTGCTATGATTACAACTCATATTTCAAACACAAAAAACATGTCTTTTTGAAAGGAAATCTATTACAACTTGTGTTTTTTTTCCTGCTAGCTGCCATTATTTGATGATTATCAAGAAATTATTTCATTTTTCTTGTAAAAACATAATAGTTGGTTTGGGGTTGAAAGGCAATGTGTTACTGTCAACATTTTCTAAGAAATGAGCCTCCATTATAAATGAAAACTACCAGCTTTGAAGACAATTTTTCTATGATTTATACTTTAGCTCCAATAATTTGTAATTTTATGTCTTTAAATAGAGGAAAATTACAAGATGTCATTTTTTAACAAAATAATAATTTTCTTTTCTCTGTTATCAATTTTCTTTTTATTTCATTTTGGGAAAGTTCTTTATCAACAAATTTTGTCATCTCAATAATTTTAAAGCCATATATTTCAATATTTCTTCAAATACTGATATTTTCACCAAAAATTCTAAAATCATTAAGCAAAGACTTATGTTATTTGTGTTTTTTTCTCAAAAAGCGCTTAAAAATAGAAATATGAAAATATAGCCCTGTTTTTAGTTGAAATATCTTTGAATAATAAATAAAAAATGTGATATAAATCTTTTTTTTCTCATACATGATTGACTTCTATTATTGAATTAAGTATCATAATAAAACTTTGCCCCAGACATTAGTTAGTTTGTTTAAAGTCAAGACCTGTTTTCAATCTTGGCTATATAAATCTTACCACCATTCATTATTGATAGACTTGTCTGGTAGACTTGACAATCATAAATCAATTTAGAAACACTGCCTGATGGAAAACTCATAATTATGTCAAATGTCTCAGAAGATATTCTACAATATTAAACGATAAAAAACAATCTGGAATCATTTTTATACTTTCAATTTGACAGGATATTTTTCTTATTTAGTGAAAAGGGCAAAAATATTTGTTTAAGGCCAGTTTAAATAGGCGTTTTTGAGCTAAAGCTAGATAATACCTTATGCTGTGAATAAATGCTGTGTGATAAATGGTGCAGGACTATTGATATATGATGTATATCAAAGTATTTTTACAATTACAAAGAATTCCTACTGTTAAAATAGTGCTCAATATATCAATTGTACAGCGATATAGATATATTAAAACAGAACCTATTTGCACCATATACTGGACACTGTATTCTATTTGTACCTCAATGCTGCACAACAGTGAAATAGGATGTTTTACGAATTGAATATTTGTGCATAAACAATACAAAACTTTGTATGGTTCTTCCTTGGAAATAACAAATGAACAAAGTTCACAACCATTTTGAATCTCTTCCTCGACTTAATAACTCAAACTTGGAAACTGCTTTAATATTTCAACTAGGCCTTCAAATCACATTTAAAGGTTTAGAAATGGCTTTTGTTGTATGTTGCAATATCCCTGCTTAATGATATTTTTCACAAAGTAATGAACCAATTATTTTTATCTCCTTTCAGGTGCCAGATAGTTTCAGAAGATGTGCTCAGTGTAGTTTAAGAGAGTTCTTCAGATCTATTATCAGTGGAAAGGATGCTGAACCTTCTTGGAAGAAAGCAATCTATAAAGTCATTGCTAGATTAGATGAATCTTTACCAGAATATTTTAAATCACCTAACTGGATGGAACAACTTGAAAATGTGTAATCTTTAAAACTCTTTAAAACCCAGAAAAAACTACAGAAGTGTTCAAATATTTCCTAAGACTCAAATTTGTATTTTTTATCTTGAAACGCTGTATTTTTCATTATATATATATAAATGATATATGGCAATGATGTTTTTTAATCAAAAATAACACATGGATCATGATAATGTTTTTTTAACAAAGATCATGATAAGGTGTTTTAACAATAATAATGATAATGTTTTTAGACAATGATCATGATAATGTGTTTTAACAATGATAATGTTTGTTAACAATGATCATGATAATGTTTTTTAACAATGATCATGATAATGTTTTTAAACAATTTCCATGATAATGTTTTTTAACAATGATCATGATAATGTGTTTTAACAATAATCGTGATAATGTTTTTAAACAATGATCATGATAATGTTTTTAAACAATGATCATGATAATGTTTTTAAACAATGATCATGATAATGTTTTTTAACAATGATCATAATGTTTTTTAATAATGATCATGATAATTTCGAAAATAAAGATGCTTATTTTTATTTGAAATTTCTATAAATGATGGTCATGATTATGAAAGAATATTTATTTTTAAAAAAAAATCTTATTTTCATGTAAAAATATTTCATTTATTCTAATGATATGATTTTATTGATATAAATTGAGAAAAAAACTTTTGTAATAAAGATTAAAAATTCCCTGGTCATTTTTGAAGATAAGCAGATGTAAAGTTTAGGAAATGACATCTAAGTTTATTAAAGTCATCAAATTATTAAATAAAAAAAATGATAAATATAAGTCAATGTAACAAATTTAAGTCATGTAATGATAACATGTATTAACTAAATCTAAGTCAATATAGCATGACCAAAGAATTTAAGTCATTATGAAATGACTTTAAAAGTCAGGGAAGGCAGAATTGATTGATATTATATCTGTAGTCAATAATCTTATTATATACTAACAAGCGGATCAACGCAAATCCTTAGTATTGAATAAAGTCATAGTTCTGTACAATATTCTTTTTTGTTTTCTTTACTTTTGGTGCAATTGTGTATTTTGTATATAGATATAAATAGTTATTGGTTATTTTGTTATTTATTTTTAAGTCATTTATTATTTATTCCTTCTCTACATAATAAATAACATAATAGTAATTATTTTGGAAAATAATGGCACAAGTAGTGCTTTCTTTATTCAAGTGCGTCAAAAAGGAGAATTTCAACTCCAAAAACCATGACAATAATGATTTTATTTTTTTGAAATTTTGGCGAATGTTTATTTAAATGTATTGGCTTACTGAAAATAATTCTTAACGTGATATATGCATAATGTTTGTATTATAAAAACTTCTTTTGCTTTTTTGTTGATATATCATAACCTGTTTTTGTTGTTCTGTTATGGCTAGTTAGTGTTATATTAAAAAAAAATTTTCTCTTTACTTTTCTGAATATGACATTTCTCAATGAATCCCTGAATTTGGCTTTAAATAAATTAAAATGTTTAAGAACCCATTTTGCGGTTTTATGTGAATCAATGTTTAGATGTAACGTCTGATTGAAGCCACAAAATATTTTACCTTGGTATTAATTTTGGAACCTTTTTGGCCTTTTCATGTTTTTGTATTGATCATTGTTCAAAAAAATGCAAAATACAAAAATGTCAGATTGATAATTTGAATAAACATCCCAGCTCAGTGACAAAAATAAGAAACATCAACAACTAGCCATAACATATTTTGGAGATCCATTTGTTAGTTTTATATTTTATTAGTCCTACATTCTAGAAATGGGAATATGAGTTCTCCTAGTCAATTATTAATCATTTTATACAATAATCACTCTACTAGCAACATTCAATTAATCATCATCATTCCCATTATACTTATATAAAGGATTTTAATATTTTTTGTTCAGATAGGTTAAGGCTTTCTTGTCATTCCACATTCTCAATTTCTGCACATTCCAAGCTCTTGTCATTTGAAAAGGAGATTTTCTACTTGATTTTTAAGTGTTTTGGGGATACATTTGAGCCATTCCAATTTACAATTGAGACTAAAATTAAAAATTCCATTTATCATATTTTCCAAACTTGCCACTCCAAATATCAAATTATTTATTTAATTGTACCATGTGAGATTTGAAAGATGTTTTAATGATCTGCTGATAATTTGAGCTCAAAATGCTGAGCTTATACAGAGCTCAAAATGTAATCATCATCAAAAACTGAAATCTAGTCATATACATCTGATTTTTTGCAGCACTTGTTTATATTGCATCTATTTATAATCATACAACCAAATCATAAAATTCTTATTTAGTTTGTGAGGTGATTTAAGCACTGTGCCTATCATAGTTTGAAAGATTATTATTTTATAATACTCCAAGTTATTTTCTTCATTTGCATAATATATGCATAAATTATGCAAATGATTGAGGGTTATCATACCAGAAATCAGTCTTTAGAAAAATTTACTTTGTATAGATAAATGTTTTTCAAACATCAAATATATTGTAGCAATTAGATCAACTATTAAAGTTATTGGACTATACCATTCCATTTATATATAGATATACATATATTTGTTGTTTTCTACTATGTATAATGCTTTAGACATGATTCAAAACATTGTGAATATGTTTATGTAGTACAATAAATGGCTATCTTCTTCAATTTGGTTTCTCTTCTTTTATTCTCTTACAAGTGCAGTCCCACTCCGGTGCATGCAGGCTATCTGGTACATTTAGACTTGCGAATGAGAACTTCAAAGAGTTCCCACTACCCCCTTAACTTAAAGAGATAGATCCACCATTTTGTGGGGTTTATTTGAGTCTTGAATATATGGAAGCAGTCTTTCAGAAGTACTAGAATGTACAAAAATTTCTTTAAAAATATCTGAAATTAGGAATTTCTTTTCCCATTTCTACAGATGTCTTTTCTATATATGGCAGTGTCTCCAGATAATTCTGGACAAGCATGGACTTGAAGGCTCCAATTTCGATGGTGATCTGTGAACACTATTACCAATTTACTTAGCTAAAAAATTCCCATTTCTGAGACAAAAGTATGATTGCTAACAAAAAAATAGACATATGGGAGGGTGGTATCTACCCAATTCATTAGAACATCATGAGATACCTGAACAATAACATGAGACACCTTACTTAGAACATGAGATACTCAGTAAGAACATGTGATATCTCTACAAGAACGATATATATATATACCTTACTTAAAACATAAGATACATGAGATACTTTACTTAGAACATGAGATACTCAGTAAGAATATGTGATATCTCTACAAGAACGATATATATATATACCTTACTTAAAACATAAGATACATGAGATACTTTACTTAGAACATGAGATGCTCAGTAAGAACATGTGATATCTCTACAAGAATGATATATATACTTTAACAAGAACATGAGATACCTCTACAAGAACATGAGATACTCAGTAAGAATATGTGATATCTCTACAAGAATGATATATATACCTTAACAAGACCATGAGGTAATTTACTTAGAACATGAGATACTATGTAAGAACATGAGACACTCTATAAGAACATGAGACACTCTATAAGAACATGACATACCTGACAGTATGTCACGTGATACCTCTACAAGAACAATATAATTATACCTTACCTAGAACACCAAATACCTCACTTAGAACATAAGATACTTTATTTACAACATGAGATATTTTACTTAGAACATGAGTATCTCTATAAGAACCTGAGATACCTGACAGTATGATCAAGTGATACCTCTACAAGAACATGTTATATTTCTGATACAACTTTAGATACCTCAGTAAGAACATGAAAAACGATAATGATATGAGAAATCCCAGTCAGTCTTTTCCGTCAATGCTTGTGATGATTTGGTGAATTGACAAAAGAAGCTTAATTTGCAATGGCGGCGTTAGTATGGGTACAAGGGAGCATTATCCCCACCCATCTAGAAATTGTACCCAAAATTTACCCCCACTCCATTTTTAACAAATTTAAAAATATTATTTAGAAACCTCCCAGACGCACCATAGGAGACTTGCGACAATAGCGCTTCCACGAGACTATCACATTTAGAAATCTCAATCTACACAGTTGCCCACACCCCCACCCTTTCCCCAGTAACGCTGCCCTATTTGTACCCCCAGCCTCAGGAGGTTGGCGCCGCCACTGTTGATTGATTATTTACATGTTTACTGGCTTCTGAACATCTTTTAATTACAAAATCAACAAGGAAAGTCTATGTAACAGAAACCAGTATTTTCATAAGTAATCAAGAGGGAATTACCCGAGAATAGTTCTTATTTTCATTAAAGCATTGATTTCTCAGAGAAAATTGTGCATGATATAACACTTTTTAGTACCCTTTTGTCTCTTGGTATTACACAATACTTCTTATGGTAAAAGATTGACGTCAATCTTAACTTTCACTTAATTAGTTCCTTTTAGTCTTACCACTTACATAACTGCAATAAATTACTATTTATCGTAAGTGGCAATTGTCTTGGTACTATAGAGTATGTTAATAGTTTCCGTGAAGTAAGTATTGGTACTAACTTTGATTTTCAAGTTTATTAAAGATGGCGGTCGTGTCGTCTGCCACACACCTGTCCTCTTTGACTTTGTGTTATCAGAAATTAGCTGAATTGTATATTATTTAATGATTTTCATAATAATGTTAATTAGTCGTTGTAAATTCAAAGTACCGCATAGACGTCACTCACACTTAAAGATGATCTCAGAGTGGCAAAGAATTTCAGGGCCCTGTGTGAGACAAGATTTGCCTGATAATGAGCGGTTTAAAATACAAGAATAACATTTATATTTCGCTGTCGAAACTTTCAACTTTCGGGGAAGGGCGGGGTTGACATATCAAGAATGCACAGGACTAGGAACTGAAATTGGGGGATGAAGAACAAAAATTCTCATGCTTAAGGACAAATCAACCCAGATAACTTTTTTTCCAGAAAAAAAACGACGAAGGCTTAGCTTTTTGTATGTGTTCTAATCTATATCCCCACATTTTGCCGCGTTTAACAAAGTCGATCCACTTAACAAGTTTTTTTACGTCATAGAATAACCCATAATCGACAAGGACATACCTTGATGAAACGTTCAGAGTGCAAAAGATTACATTATAAAATTGTCAACATGTCTGTTTATAATGACAAGGCAAGTCTGATACAAACCACATTAGATTTCACCCAAAACCAGACGATTTCCGTCAAATCTGCAGCTGCCCCTATCATATTTGACAGCTTATGTAGCAATCTTTTTTCTCTCAGCAAGATGGTCATATTGAGCCACTAAGAATCGCGACCTCTTCTTTGTATGCATCACCTCTGTATGTCGTTGCGTGAGATACGAAGACATCAAATTTGAAACACGAATATTTGTTGAAATGATACGTATCGTTTATCATTCTTTGAATTTCTAAACAATCCTTCTATCAACAAACAATTGT